AAAAGGTTAATTCTGTCATTTCCAGTCCTGAGGCAATACTCCCTTTCTCTCATGTTCTACTGGCCTTTTTATAGTTTGTGAGATTGAGGGAAATGGGTGGAAGATGTGGAAATCCTATTGCACCTGCCCGCTCCTTTCCTTTCCCCAGAGAGCTACACACAGAACATTCTATTATTTAGTTAATTGCAAAGAAACAATTACAAAGGAACTTGGCAAATTCTCTCTAATCACAGTGAGACCCAGTGCAGTTTGGTAAGTTCAGCAAATTAGCAAGTAAGTGAATATAAAAAAGAAAGAATAACACAGCTCAAATTGCACTTTGTTTTGTCAGTCAGTTTCTGTTTAATTATTTAAGATATTTCTTCATAACATTCTAGTACATTTTGTATAATAATGGTTTACTAGCATAGAAATGCCATACCTGGCTATTAAGTATCTGCCAAGAGGAGGAAGAAACTGACAAGTCCATGTAAATTACAGAGAGCCTGTTTAGGAAATATTTCCAGGTTAGATAAATAGGCTTTGCCATAATTTGTGTGAGATATAAATAAGGATCATCGCTAGATAACGACAATGCTAAACTAATGTTTGTACAGGACGTTAGAACTTGAATTGCAAGCATTCATGGTCAATCCTCCAGTTTATTTAATGCTATTCTAATTCTCTATGCAGACAACTAGAGGCCATTTAAGCAGGGTTTTTTTTTGTTTTTTTTTTTTTTTACAGCTGCACTGTAATCAAGTGGCAGATCTTACAGTATATTATTTCTAAACTTATATTACAGGAAAGACTTGCAAGCTCCACTGCATTACTGAAACAGAAGATCATTCTGCAGAACTGATAAACCAAGGTGGGGCAGAAGAGCAAGACTCAGGTGTGGTATGATCTGGCTGATAGGAAGAGAGATAATACAGCCCCTTACAACAGGCACGATGTCCCTCCTGGTTCTGTTCAGATCATTTTGGGCATCAAGATTTTATGACACATCTGTTCATACTATCAAGAATAGAAGCCCTAAAGGGGCTTATGTGACACCCAGTGTGAAGTGTCTTCTGAGGCACGCTGGCAAGAAATCTACCAACTAGTAGGGGAGCTGTTACAATCTGAGCAACATCTTGAGGGAGGAAGTTTTGTTTATACAGAGCCCCAGTGCGGGGAACAACATGAACACTTTCCTGGAGATCAGAACAGATGTAGAATACATATGCTCTCAGAGTTTAAAAAAGTCATTAGGACAGCCAGACAGTGGAAAGGGCAAGAGGAGCAGGGTACAACTTAATCAGTGGAATACAACAGAGTTTAGTTAACAAGAACATAGCAACACTTGCTGTTCAAGGCTATTCCTTCAAGCACAGTGAGGACAGAATGAATGCTAAAGGCCACATGTAAGCAACAGCCAACGCGCCTTATGCACATCTGTTTGCCCTCCACTCCCCCTGGCAGATTAATTGGAACAATCATCACAGGTTTTTTTAATTATTTTATTACTCACATTTCACTGGTTTAATAACTGGTTGCTATGACTGTTACAACCAGCAAGCAAGCAGCACAATAGACATAAATGAAACTTGCTGTACTCTGCACAAAGCCACACATATTTGAGGCAATAGTATGGCTTTTAGTTTTAGAAACACATGACAGATTTCCTCTCGAATCAAGTACCAGAAACCAAGACTGAAAGCAAGAGCCCATCACTGCTGGCAATTGCACTAGGATTTGGTCAAGAGCATTGTTCACCCTACCGATGGGAGGACTTTAAACTTATATTAAGAGGAAATTCACACCCTACGTGTTTAAGAGTTAACTTTTTACCAGCCTCATTACCTGTCTTGTAGAATGGAGGAGACTGGACTTACTCAGGACTGGCTCAGCAAAACAGCCTGAGGTAAAAGGTCAGCCTAGGTGCAAAGTGAAAACACAGGAACAAGCAGCAGAGGCTGGAGTAGCAATACAAGCACAGCAACTGCAGCAGGAATGCATGAACAATTAATTTACAAGCTTGAACTTAATTTGAAAGTTCAATAGTCAGGAGAAAATACGCTGCAATTATTTCAACATTTTAAAAATCCCAAAGTAACTTACATACAAGATTTGCACAGTTCTAATTATTAAAATGATCATAAAAATCAATGGCTTTCTTATATATACACCAAAATTGATACTACTCCATTACAACTGCATAAAAAGTTGCCTGTGTAGGGATTATTTGTATAGCTACGTAGGAAATGTTATATTTTTCAGGTCTTGATGGTGCAATAAAAATTTACAGGCATAGGCACTTAAGGACAGAAAGAGATCAAGAGAGATCACATCCCATAAAAGTCAGATCTCTATATTCACATGATTCCTAACTAAACAGTAGGTAAACAGCAAACGTTTTCAAGTAGGCAGCATTATCCCATATAGAACTTGTGTATCAGTAGGATGGAAAGTGTGCTATTAGGTAGCTTACAGCGGAATTTCATTTTAATTCAGGACCTTGATGGCCCTACAAGGTTACCAGTACCTTGTACAGAAAACATTTTTTGTTTGTTTGTTTTAAAATGAAGCTGCGTGTTTTTATAGGGCCTATATCCTGGCTGGTTTCAGCCACACAGATTTTTACTGTCCTCAGCTTTCCGTTGAGTCAAAGAAAAGAAAAATGCCATTTCCTCTGAAATTAATTTTTTCTTCCTTCATTGCTCCGTACCTCTCCCCAGATTTACAACAGCTGGCATTCAGACAGCCACAGAATGAAACCTACAGTGTCAATTAATACTCCTTTCAACACATTCCATTACAGCATATAATGAAAAAACATTAAAGGCTATTAATGCTGCAGAGGTTTCTCTTTCTAGTGTACTAAACCAAACTTTCTATATCCTGTGAGCATATAGTTATCTTTCAAACAAAGTTATGTGTTTGAAGCCTGCCCAATTAGGTATCAGATTTATTTGTTTTTAATGGTTGTCAGATTGAATTGAATTTAGGAAGCTCTAAAGACATTTTCATTAACCTCAGAAGGCGTTTGCTCCTTTTCACCCTTCTGTCTGTCTATGACTTTGGGTCACACCAAGCAACTCTCTCTCTTTTATCCTGGAACTCAGCTACTCTACTGCTAGTTGTATGCCCAGTTAAAACAGAAGTCTTTCTACTCTGTATCTTCTTGATACTTTCATATCTGTTCTTTGTTATGGTACAGTAAAGTAAATGTCATCTTCATCATATTTTCTGTCCAAGTATTTCCCTAAAGGGTAACAGTTAGGTAGGTATTTTGTATCAGTCTTGGTCCTGACGTACACTACATACTTTCTCCTTGATGTGTCAGAGTCCTCAGCTCTAGTTACTCTCTCTGGAGGTATCCATGACATAGTCACAGTTACAGACTTGAAATATTATACATAAGCAACTCAATACAGCTCTGCTTCTATTTAGCAAAATTACTCTTTTATAACCTGACTTTCAGAAAAAGAGGGAAACAGTCTAAGCTTCTACTGAGAGGATTTTATCCCTTTTATTTTATATATATTTATCCTTGCTGCAGATGACAGTCATGTGACCAAACTACCAGCAGGAAAAATTTACCCAACACAAGTATAAATGACATTCTTCAGACTGCTTTGGGTATGGAGAGCTCCCAAAACTGCCTTTGGAAAAAGCAAAGGCAGCATTTCCACTGATGGGATTAAATGAAATCAGCTGCATTGTGCTGCAGCCATCCAGTTTCCTTTGGCTGCAAGTATTGGCATGAACTATGATAAGCTCAGATAGTGCTTCATTGAAATCAGAGAACTGAGACAGCTCTGGCTTATTAGTATTCTGCAAAACAGCGGTGACTGATTTTTAATTTAAAAAAAAGAAGAGGGAAAAGGTGATAAAAATCTTCTATTTAAAAGCATGCTTTCTGTTTACAGGTGACTTTATTATTCCTTGATGACAAAGAACCATTAGGGTCTCTAAAAAAACTTTGCTGTTTGCAAAATGAAATTCTACTTCCAGTAAATATCACATGATTTACCCAGTTCACCTTTCATACAAAGGCATTTTCATGCCTTTGAAGGTATTGGAACAATAGTCTGGACTAAAAGCTCCTCCTTCCAGCAAGAAGAGGTACAGTTTGTGTAAAAGATTTGGAAAGACTCCTCTGATCATATTGTCCACAGTCCATTATGTCACTGGTCCTTTCATGAAGCCTGCTAAAGACATTGTCAAATAGTGTTTGTTCTGGATGTAGTCTCATTATCTATTATAAGTCAACCTTCTGCTTCTGTTCAAGCTACATGGGTCTGAATATGTTGCTCATCCCAATCTACATCCCTCAGAACAGAGTGGGTAGTGCTCAGGCTTTCCAGCAGTAAGCCTCATAGCTCTACCTGATGACAGAAGATGGCTGTCCCTTGTGACCCCTCTCCCAGCCTGTAACTGGTCTCACGGTGCACTTGCAGCATATACTGCTGATGTGCACGCACACAAATGCAGTGCTGAGAAGAGAGATCAACAGCAGAGCAAAATTGGACTTAAAATCTCTTAGTACTCAACATATGAGCAATCTAGTTAGTCAAAGTTTCAGTCAAGTGATGTAAGCTAAAACAGAACATAAAGCAACATATGCACACTGGAACAGGCTCCCCAGGGAAGTGGTTACTGCACCGAGCCTGACTGAATTTAAGAAGAGATTGGACTGTGCACTTAGTCACATGGTCTGAACTTTTGGGTAGACCTGTGCGGTGTCAAGAGTTGGACTTGATGATCCTTAAGGGTCCCTTCCAACTCAGGATGACCCTGCATACTCCACTCCACTCACTGATATGTGAGCAGAAAACGCAGTCACAAGGGCATCCTTCATAGAACACTCCTGCTATTACACCCTTCTCTGACAAATATAAAAAAAAGTGATTACATGATTAGACATTTCAAATACAAAAGTGCTATACATATTATAGCTAGCACGTTTGGAAAAAGCAATAAATAAAGGAAACCATGCAGCCACAGTAGGCCTAGAGTAGCCCTATGACACAGAATTGATTTCCTTGAAGCCTTTATTGGTCTGCATAGACTTTAAATGTTTAGTGTAAAAAGAAAAAAACCACCATATTACAATATGACACTATAAAAATTTTAAATAGAGAGGACCTTGTAGCACATACAAGCTGTTCCCCTTCACATACACAAGCTGAAAAACGGAGCCAAGTTATTTTTCACTTTCTGATTAAACAAAGTATTTCAGCCAACCTGAAACAAGACTTTGTTTGACATGAAATATTTTAAGTCTCTATTGCTTTCATTTAAAATTGATATTTGAATCTGTGAGAGAAAACATTGTTTTGTTTTAGTCTTTTTTAAACTTCAAACTCTCCATACCAGAAGGATAAGCATAATGGACAGTCAGAGGCTTTTAGCCATGTAGTCAGACATATCAAACAATTATTCATTTACATCTGAAATAATGACAACTGCAGGCTAATACTCCTCCTTTTCCTCTTTGCTATGCTTTACCTTCGTAGAAATATTTTTGTTTGTGAATCAAATAATTCAAGATCATCGGGGCCCGTTACAAAAGTGGGTGGAGTTCTTCTTCATCCGTAACAATGGAGAAACGATGACAATATCATCTGAATCATCTGAGTGAGCTTCATCCACAGACAGAGAGAGAGTGGGCTGTGATTGCTTCTCAGAAGACCTGGCTGAAATAATTGCAAAAGGAAACAAGGGCATCAATAAACAACGCTGATAAAAACAAGCCCTTGTGGGAAGCATAATGTTCTCTGAGCCATCAAGTTTCCAGAATTGCTTACAGTTATGAATAGCTCTCATCTATCTTTTTCCGCTTGCAACTATTACCCTTTCCTCTTTAACGAAAGAACATGCATACCAAGTGGTAAGTTGACATCCTGACCACGCATGATTTGTCTTATTGTCTTTTAATCTTTGCAAGTGGTTACACGTCAAAAAGTGAAGCAATTTGATACTGAAACTATCTCAGGCCATAAAAATAAATATTTATTAGAAGGCCAGAAAAGGAAAAGTTGACCCAAGCAAGCTTAAGCAGGAAGGTCATAATGAAAAGTTCAGTCAAGTATAGATAGAGAAAAGGGAAAACAGTGAGAAATAAGATGAAAGCTGTGAGTGACAATGTCTTTCATTCTTATATCTATAAAATACCACAAATATTGTTCACATGCTGTACTGCCTTAAAGACAGTGAGTTCTATTGGTTCTATGCAACTCAATTCCAATTTGAAGAAATGTTTATGGAATAAACAGAATCCTAATGATTCCAGTAAGAACTGGAAAATCAGAGGGAGAAGTCAGATACATGAGGCCCCTTACATCTGATGAGCAGGAACAGCGGCTTCTATCCCCTCTACAAGAGATCTGTGAACTTAATGATTACAGCTATTAATACCTGCTAGGACAATATCTTCTCCTCAACTTCACCTATTTTTCAGCTTCAAATATCAGTTCTCTGAAAAAGACTATCTCCCAGACAAAAGGAAAATAAATCAAGATGACCTGCAGTACAAAAAGTAAACACACTTGAGGCCATATGCTGAGAATTTGACACTGGAATAGAAAAGACAACAGAGGGCACACAGAAAATCTTACTTGGGAAGAACAAACATGCCATGGGCTTCATAATGAAATGAGAGGTTTCTGACAAAGAAAAAACCTGCTGGTATGGAAGAGGCATACAGAGCAACTGTAATGTGGAATAAAGAAAGCACAACAAGCCCAGAAATAGAAAAAGGGTGACAGACAGAGTCTGTGAATGAAAAAGGAATGCAGGAGACTGTTACATTGACCTCAACCCACAGAAGAAAAGAAACATTACTTTCTAGTTAAGTGAAATTCTTCTCTGCATCAGTTCTTCCAGAATTTCTTCACTCATCATTTTATTGTCATCATCACCTACAATCACCTTTGGAGACTTCACAGGTAGGTAGTGACAGTGCCCTCCCTATCAGTACTATTCTAATGGTCAGACTACTGCACCTACCAGACTAGCCTCATTTTACAGCACTTTCTCTAGGTCTTAGAAATACTTCTTCAGAGGCACAAAGCTTTTTTTTTTTAAGTCTATTTTTTTCATTTAAAAAAAATTTTTTCTCTTTGGGCAGAATTTCACAATTGATTTACTCTGAGTTTAGACTGAGTGTACCAACAAAGACTACTGCAGTAGAGCCCAAGCGAAACAGGAAGCTGCCAGGATTCTTTTCTGGATACTGTTACCAGACATAACTAAAAGTTACTCTGTAACATCTTCAGAAGCAAGTCTTAGGGACTCCTTCACAAAGTAGTAGAAGGTGCTTCTGAATATGGAATACAATGAACTTTCTTACAAACATTCTCCTTCACTGAAGGGTAATCTCTGTATTTGCAGCCCTTGTAAATCTGGCTTATTCCCCATCTCATATCTTAGAGGAACAGCCTGAGCTGCTTTCGGCATGCTCTGTTTCTGCACAAGTCTGCAGGGACTGTCAGCTTTTCACTGACAACAACAAACTAATGTTTTTCAGGTCACCCTCAAAGTTGCTTTTTCTCCAACTGGTCCACAAAACCTAAAATATCCTGCTCAGGATATTTTTATTTTATTATTTTATTTACCAGCTTTCTTTAGCTTGTTTTTAACTCCTTTGAAGCTGCATGTCTAAGCTTGTATTATCTACATCATTGTTTTGCTTTTCCTGCTCAGTACTTCTAACATCCTCTTAGAAGCCTCTTTGGCTTTAACTCCATTTTCTCAGAAGCAGCAAGCAAAATTCAAGAAGGAAAAACTGAATATCAGCCATAAAAGACAAAGACATTTTCCCAGTTTATACCACAGCAGTGCTAGCTGGCAGGGCTACCTACAACTCCAATTTTCCCCTTAATACAGCAACTAAGGACTGATGAAAAACATGACTAAATACAAATGACTGACTAGAATGGTTCATTTTTACCAGATGTCTGTCCCCATCAGAAACTAAGTCAGCAAGGTGAAAACTCATTCAACTTATGTTGTGGGCTGCAAGCTGTAGACAACGGAAAGTACCATATTACAGCCACAGGGCAGGGGGTGGGGGATTGAAGCGGAAGTAGAAAGGCAATACAGAGGAACACCATGTTCCTTAAATAATTACTATTGACCACAGAAAGAGATCATCCAATCTGCAGTTTTGACAAACAGACAAAGCACTGCGAGGAAGCTGGTACTGACGTTGTCAAAGACTTAATCTTTCATTTGAAAATATGCCCGTACAAGGAACATGTTATCAAATTAGAAGAGTAAATGCAGAGTGCAAGTATGCATGTAAATGCGTGCGTATGTGCAGACGCTCTGTCAAATTATGTCTGCACTTACTCAAACCCCACATACTTTTGAACACAGAAGGAAATGAGATTACCAAGAGGTGACATGATGACTGGAGGAGTTCTCTGGAGTACTGCTGAGACTGGTTTCTTCTCTGTAACGTAGACAGCAGAATCTGCTTTCTCACTTGTTGCACTGGACACAAAGGGTCTGCAAAATTACACATTGCATAGCCTATAGTACAGAACAGGAATTGCAGTTTGTCTTCAGAATGCATACAGAAAAGTTTATTGTGTTACTAGCACCAAAGAGGTAAAAGTGCATCTTTTGAAGAAGTGAACTGGGTCACACATGTGAGGTGAAAACTATGTAACTCGCCTTGTAACCACAGGAACGAATATTAAAAATTTCTGGTGCAGTAAACCCTGAAGAGAAAAAGTATTTTCCAAGGCAGTCACAACAAACCTAAGTAGTAAGCAAATTGCCATGTTCTTCCTGAGTTAAGCCAGTAGACTGAATACAAGATTGTATTCTAGCTCTTCCCTGTTCCTATTCCACATAATCCTTAACTTTTACGCGTCAGAGCTTCAGACTCATTTAAATTAAGCTAATGTAGCAGCACTGAGTTCGATAGCAACTGTGTATAATTTTTTTTCTCCAAAAAGTAATTATTTTCCTCCGCTTTCCCTCATCTCTATAGCAAACATGCAACAAGATATAGGAAGATTACTGCTGCAGCAAGAAACCTCTTTAGTTGCATACCCACAGCATTTTACTCATGAGAAAGCTCTTTTGTGTGTTTGAACAATGGCCCTGTTCTCTTTCTCTGCCAAGGAACCCACACTAAAATCCCATTCAAAAATTACTCCTTGCCTGTAATAAGCACAGTTTTGCTTCTACGTATCGCGAAAAAAAAAAAAAGTCTATTTGTCACTTACCTCTCCTCAAGCAGTACAGCACGTGCTAAGTGAGCCCTGAAAATGGACTGGATGAATGTCACAGTCTCCTCTTTCTCCTCACAGTCAGAAGATGAGCTCAAAGAGTTTGACACACGAGACATACAGGAGTTCTGCAGAGTAATCAGATCAAAGAGAACTGACCTTTTAGAAACTGACAGAAGCTTTGACAATTTTACTCCTGATTTTGAAAACTGCAGGGGAACAAACATTCCTGTCTTCTGGTCTGCAGTCTTTATGGTTCTATAAGCAGCAATGCAAATCTGACTGTCGTACAAGCTTTGAAGCACCTGCATTCAATTAATGAGACTAGATACCTGCAAGGAAAGTTCATTTATTTCCCAGGAAGAAAACCACCTAAAGTCAAACAAGGTAAGGCAACCTTCATGATGGATATGCTTTCTGCTTGTATCAAGCAAAAGTATTCAGTCCTATCGCATTTGGCCTATTTATATAAAATTGCATTCAAAGTGCGACCACATGGACAACTTGCATGGAAAATTCCAAATTAATTTTAGCCTGCTAAAGGCCAAAAGGTTGTTCATGTAAGCTGGCAAATGATTTACAGAAGAAAAAAAATTTAGTTGATAAGTGCTGAGATATCTGGAGCACGTTTGACATGACTAAGATACTGCAAGTCTTTAGCAGAGCGAGCCACATGCAAGGTTACTTTTTAAGCCAAAGATCTCTAAATCCTTATTTCTGAATTTCAGTGACAAAGGTTTGCCTATTACTACTATGACTCAACAAACATGAGTATAAGTGCAGTTTCCAATCACATTCCAAATTAATGAGTTAAAATTTATGCTACTAGCTAATGGAAGAACCAGAAAACTCGAACAAAACAACAAAAAACACAGGACATTTAGGTACAGTTCATAACGCAGTGAAATTACAACTCTACTTCTGTGAACTAAAGAAGACAGAAAGTAAAGCTAGGGAATTCATTTGTTATCCTTCTGGAATTACAATGGTGCTGCTAACCAGTGCATTAAAATAATTCTACTGTGTGACATGGAGAATTAAGTGTGGAAGTATAGTACCTCACATAGAAAACTAAAAAGAATGGAATTACTGGATACCAATTACCGTTTTTCCAAGGCTATGCATGTTGTGAGGTTTTGCATCATGCATCCCACTATTCAGTAACAGTTTCTGTCGAGCTAAATGTCCTCTGAAAGCTGCCTGAAGCACAACAACTGCCTAGCATTGAAAGAAAGAAAGAAACATTAGCTCCCTTGGAAGATGGCACCTAGAAAATAAAACAAAAGTCCAGAGGGAAAAGGCACAAGAGCAAAATAACTTTTCCCTGTGCAATGGATACTGATGTCTTGACATTTTTTAGGTTTAAGCGATCTCACCCATCTACTTCACTGACACTGTGCCACAGTCCAGAGAATCCGCAGCACGGGGGATAAAATACCCATAGACATGCACCTTCAGGGTTTAAATTCAGTCTAAGAGGTGTTCATGATCGATCCTATTAAAAGCAATTAATTTCTGGCCACCAGCACTAGCCTATATTTCACAAATAGAGAAACATCCCACTCCCATGTTACATGCTGTCTCCTCAGCAGGCTCTGTGATGCTCTGGTTTGACCAGAAATCAAGTCAAGCCTGGCAGACCACTGCAGTGATTATGCTGAATGTACAAGTTGCAGATTATGATACAGATTTTTTACTCGGGTTTTACTAGATTCTAATCAACAAAAAGCATCTAGTTGTAACACAGCATATTTGTATCACATAAAATTTGTTCTAATGTCTGAAAATATGACTTCCTAATTTTCTGGAAAAAGCAAGTTAAAGATGCTATGTTGTGCAATTTGAAAAACAGTTTAACCAAAATGTGCAATGTTTATGCAAAACACTGATAGAAAAGTGACTAAATTGTCACAAAGTCAATTTCTTCAGAACACTCTGCGGTATTTCTCCTTAGGAAAGGCTTCAAATTCCTACTTGAAATCTTTCTGACGATTCTTAATAGTGAAAATGAAAAACATATAGAAAACTTGAGACCAAAAGGTGAACACTACCAGCCGAAAAACAAAGTCTCAGTACCAAAGCTCATCTCACAATAAAACCTCCTTAAAAATAATAATAAAAAAAAAAGTTATTTGCTTATGCTTTTATACAAGTTAAATGGGATTCACTGCTTTGTTTGGTATCATAAAAATACTCACCTCATACAGTGCAATTTCTTCTTTCTGAAATGGAAAATGCCTAAGTTAACACCAGAAACATATACATTTTATCTAACAAGTATTTTCCAAATTTTTCCCAACAAACACACAAAGAAAATATGTGTTCTACCACCCACCCTGAAAACCCAAACCCAAAATGCAAGCTTGAGAAAAAGAAGTTCTATCTTTGAAAATAGCTTTTTGGCATCAGGTATGAGGGCTGTTCAGCCTGGAAAAGAAAAGGTTCTGGGGAGACCTTACAGCAGCCTTTCAGTACCTAGAGGAAGCCTACAAGAAAGTTGGAGAGGGGCTCTTTATCAGGGACTGTAGTAATAGGTCAAGGGGTAATAGGTTTAAAGAGGGTAGACTTAGCTATTCAGAAGAAATTCTTTACTATAAGGGTACTGCCCACAGGAAACCTGTGCTGGAGTAGTTTGCCCCTCAGGGATGGACTCCATAACATGGACCCTTCATATTCTCCTAGGAAGAAAGGCTGGGAGAGCTGGGGATGTTCAGCCAAAAGAAGAGAAGGCTGTGGGGTGACCTAATTGCAGTTTTTCAATATTAAAGGGAGCTTATAAAAAAGATGGAGAGCAACTTTTTGCTTAGTCAGATAATGACATGACAAGGGGGAATGATTTTTAACTACAAAGAATGTTTGCTTGTGTTTTTGTTTTTTTTTTTTTAAATTTGATTTAACAAGTAGTTTCAATAGCTTGAAAAATATTCCAATAATACTTTAGTGAACAGTTGAAATAATAAGAAAAATAATTCAATACATTTAGGACTCTTACTCCTTACTCTAGCTTTAGCTATCATGTAGTTTACCTGTAGCCTCAGTTGGAAAGTTAGCCAAAGCCCTAAATCTATCCTTCAAAAGAGCATTCAGGAAGAAGGTCAAACAGTTATCATGAAAGCTTGCATTGGTGTTGCAGGCATTAGATCCCAGAAAGGAACTTTTCATCTTCTATGAGGCATGTTAGTGATGCTGGACACATCAGCAATACATTGTGCTTATTAGCTTGGGCTCTGCTCCAGTACTAACACAGTTTCCAAGATGCAGCAGGCAGGAACTCCATGAGAAGATGATCCAAGGAGGCAACACTATCAAGGGAGAGCTGCTACAGCTCCCTTTAGTTTCTCACCCAGACTTCCCCATTTAGAAACTGTCCTTCTCACAGCAGAAACAGGGTTCTAGAGGAAAAAGGCAAAAGCAGCAGCAGGGAGAAATTGGAAAAAAAAAAAAGTGGTGGAAGAGAAGATGGTGGTAAAGAACTGGGAAGCACTGTTGTAGTTCCTGGAGCCCAGCAGCAGGTTACTCTAGATTCTGAAACAAGAGTAAAATGCAGAAGTGGGTATCCTCATTGCTTCCTGAAAGGGGACTCTCACCTTGTTTTGGTACAACTTCCACCACCTTTGAATGCATCTGGCTGCTTGTTCCTTCCTATGATCTTCTTCACCTTTAACCGTGCAGACTGGTGAGGACTGAGAAGAAGAATCTTTGGCTTAGTACCCTAAAGATTAGTTAGAATTCTGCAAGGGGAAATCAGTGTTGAATTTTCTCAGTCAGTTGTAACCTGAGTTTTTAAACATTCAACCTGCCTACTGGGTAGAAGAAAGTTAAAGGGGAAAATCTGAGCTCTGAATACTGCTCACGTTCAAGTTCATCATCAAGATGACTTAATGGAAAACACATTCCTGCCCCCATTTTTGCAGTTAGCTGAGCATGGGAACAAAAAGGTTTTCATTTACACACACTTCTACTTTTCTATTACTATAGCAGTAAGAATTCCCACAGTGGAAACCAATGCCTTGTTGATAAGAATTTTTTTTTTTTGTGCATCTGTTATTGACAGACTGAGAACAAATGGCAGAGTACCTAATTTTACAATTTTTCTCCACTGATATTAATTAACCTAGGAGCTCTCTCAAGTCTCTTCCTGATAGGTGAGACCCCACAATCATCTTTTTAAGTTTGCTGATGTGTTGTGTTGGCCATCACGTGACACTGACAAGAAAGCAAGCTTGTGTAAATTGATAAAACTCTACTTTTCTGTCTTGAAGACCTTAGTTAATTAGGAAAAAAAAAAAAAAAAGAGAAACCAAGAACAAAACAAGATTTTGTTCCAGTTATTTCTCCAGAGGTGTGATTGCATGTACCACCTCTGGCCATCTGATCTTTTTGATCCCTAAGTATCATACCCATACTAATCATTCTACTTCACTTGCCAAGCAGAAGTTATAACTGCAATTTTAAAAGACTAATCAGTTGGTGTAAAATTCTAAGTAGAGGAACAAGAGATTTTACAGAGTCTGAAAAAAGCCTCTTGATTCTGTAAGAGGGATTTATTTATAACCTTTAAAATACTGAGTTACAGGCTTAAGCTTAGCAAATGGATCATGTTATATTAAAAATGACAACCTACTATTAAAATGAAAAATTGGTAGGAACTTAGTGATAATTACAAATAATGGGAACATTTCAATAAATAGATGGTTACTGGCCAAGAATATACATAGCCTGCAGAAGAAAAAAAAGGGGCTGTTCATTGGCTGTTTTTAAAAACATGTTACTTGGTATTCAAAACATCATCTAGCATCCATCAGCCTACAACACAAAAAAATCTAACCCAAATTCCTACAGAATTGCACGGTATATCAAAAATAGTACCCTCGTAAGCTTATGGACATTTTTATTTATACTTTCATATTACCTGTAATTTCAGGGTGTATTAATTTTAAAGTACAAATAACCAAAATCCCCAGTAATACTTCTCAGCTAGTTTTTAGTGAAATGAGATTAACATGACCACCCTGCACCTGAAAGCATTTCTGTCAGAGCCCACTCATCTCCATTGACCAGCTACAACAACATTTGGCAAAGGGACAGAAGATTGCAAAGATATCAAGTTCATGCATATTTCATGGAAAAAAAAAAAAACACACAATTGAGTACACAGGCCTATTTAAGACTGGCCAGAAGGATTAAGGGCTGCACAAATACAGATATTAGATACCAGTAAATCCAGAAATGAATCCAATTATGAATATCTCAACTCTAGAAAAACTTCAAAAGGGACAAGAGTTTATTTTATTGTATTGGCATCTTCTTTAATTGTTTTATTTAAGTATGGTGCCCCATCAGCAGGGAAACTAAAAACCAACAACTTTGTTTTCATCATGATTAGTACTCTGTTTGGTAAGCCTTCCCATGAAAGAACGCCCAACTTCCATGCAAACAGAAGGGCTAAAGATTATTTTCTGATTGGACAGCACACGTGCCCTAATTGATCATCTGGTCAGAGTAAAAGCACTGCAAAGGGTCTTTGTTGTTGTTGTCTTTTGTCAGTCTGACAGAGCGCACTTACCTGTCTGTCCATCTTTAACTTCCAAAACTTACAAGACCTCCCTCCCTCTACGGTATCTGACTGAAATTAGCTAATGGGCTTAGATGTTATAAGAAGATATAAATTAATATCAAGCATCATTTTTTTCTCTTCTTAGGAAGGAAGGAAGGCAAAAAATACTTAAGTATGAGCTTTTTTGTAATATTCCATGAAGAAGAAAAAAAGTGATGGCAGAACAGGTAGGTAGTTACTAAGGTAGCTCCAAAAAAACAAACCCTAAGTTGCAGTGGTGGTTATTGAGACAACTTAACCATCATTCAGAGTCTCTATTACAAGATGCTTCTCCAAAAAGACAGATCTAGCAGCTATTTTGACTATAAGCTTCATTTGCACGGTCTAAGATGCAATGAAAAAACCAAAACAAAACCAAAAAAACATTTTTCTGTACCTTATTAAGCTTTTCCATTGTATCTTCTGTCATTTCACTCTTTTCTTCCTCCAATGTTGCTTCTGATTTCCCAACTTTCCGTGTAAGGATCTGGATTTCCTCACTATGGTTGGAAAAGCAAAGATGTTTGTAGCTAGAAATTTTCTGGTTTTCCTGCTTTGAACATGCTGAACCTATTTTCATAAAATTGGGTTACTTTTTTTTTTTTTTTAAAGGCCAAAGTTGGAAACTGTTCTCAGGATAACATGATACATATTCTCACGGTTACAGACACTGAGCATCAATTCTCAAGTTGTGATAGCATAGTCCTAAGTTAAAATTAAAAAGAAAGCGGCCCAAGGTTACAATGGTACCCTTGATACTATTAATAATGCCTCTAGATCTGAAATGATGACTGATAAATATGAAACTGTAGCAAAGTCCTGTCTTACAGAGCGATAATGCAATCACTTTCCAGTCCCCGGCTCTGTGCAGGATTATTACCAACAGTGATACAAAATAAATGAACTACATAGAATGACATATTGGCAGTGGTCCAGAAGCATAGGCTAAGGTAAGGTAAAGATACAAGAGGGTTGTTTTTTCTTGTAAAAAGAAATGTGTCAAGCACAGCATAGCACTTCTTTTCCCATTCATTTTTATTATAATCTAATTCTTCTTTCTACTATACATCTCAGCCTTCCACTTCCTCTAAAATCACTCTGTAGAATTCCTCCCCTGGTAACATACTCCATCCCTCCAAAACATTTTTCATTAAATAAATTCCCAGCTTCCTGCAGTTCATATGATCTATGAATTCTGAGACACTTCAAAAGAGATTATTCTTTTTTTTTTTTTTTTTGGTTCTGAAAGGAACTACTAATACAGAATACAATACCTTGAAGTCTGTTCTTCCATACTTTTTTCTTCTTTCTTATTTTGCCACTTCTGCAGCTCCAACTCCACTTCAGCCTTTGCCTGCAGCAACTGCTTGATATCTAATCTATACAGGTGTAAGAAAAATTTAAGTAATTCTTTTTAAAAAATCTTATTTCACATGAACAAAGCAAGTATTTTTGTTTAAACTTATAAATAAAACAATATTGGAAAGTAACTAAACATTTAATTTATCCTTTTAAACAAAGCAAAATGCAAACACATTTTTCAGAACCAGAAGGCCTCTTTGTGTGCTCTCACTATACATTTTTGTTCAAAGATGAGTTGCCATGGGGGGCAGAGCATCTTATTAGAATACATAGCTCTGTGCACATCTCTGCTCATGATCAGATTAACCTGCCTGCCCTCATGCACTAACACACCAAACTAGTCTAAACACTTTAAATTGCAGATCAGTTGCTTACTGGAGAGAAAAGACGACACATGGCATCACATGGCAGAAGGCAGGCTTAAATGTAGAAAGCGGCAGATCAGTGAAAAAAAAGTTTGTCAAAAAAAAAAAAGGAAAAATTTTACAGCAAAATACATGCAAGAAGTGCTGCATAAAGCAGCATATAACCATTCAACTTGTGTCTGGCAAAATGACATGGTGTGAAAAATGTTTTGGAAAATGAGAAATTCTGCATGTTTCTATCATCTTGCTTACTTTTCCTCCTCCTCTATAACTTAATTTTGCAACACCAACAGGTCTAGAAAAAGCTTCTGACAAAAGGAGGAGATCCTTAAAAATTTGTCTTCTTTCTGAAAATGTGAAGAACTTATTGCATTGTTCTGTAAGGTAATACAAATAATTCTTACCTACAAAAAGCGACAACATTTCAAAAAGCGCTGTACTTACTCTTTACTAAGTAGGAGATTTTGAAGTGCTCTCCTGTCACTCTTCAGTTTCTTCACTAGCCCTCGGAGGTGATGGCATTCTTTAACGTGGTCTACCTGTTGAGAGTCTGGATGATCCAGGTCTGCAGAAGGTGAAGATGACACAGCAAGTAACTGGGATGACTCACTATCTGCTGGTGATACCCTGGTGTTCTCCATGGCACCTAGTTTCTAAAAAGGATAAATTTATATACACAAGAAAAATACCACAAATGCAAAAAGAAGAGGAAAATTAAATCTAGCATAAAACAATTTCACTTAGGCCATGAGAAAAGATCAAACAGAACTTAATTCTAAAACATGCATTTACTTTCAAGTCTGATAAAAGAAAAAAAGGGAGGAAGGGGACACGGTGCAGACATCAGTTCACATGTGTGTGCTACAATACACAATGCTGATACATGCCATGAGCACAAGCCAGTGGTTTTGTATTTTCTGCTTGGAGATAAGTAAGACAGCCATGTGACTACGATCACTCACCTTTTCTAGTTCCAAAATCCGCCTCACCAGCCTCTGCTTGCTCCATTCACTGTAATCTAAACACAAAAACAAAGCTTTAAGCAGGAAACTGTATTAGTGAATTAACTTTTTTTTTTTTAAACTTCTGTCCATACAAAAAGACCACCTAAAGATCACTGAAACTCAACGTTAAAGATGCAGTAATGAAAAGAAGAAAGCAGTCTTGAAATATCTGACTTCCTATACCAGTTAGCTCAAAAAACAATATAAACCATTCACATTTATCCATTTCCAACAGATAAAAATAGTTTTCCAGCAAAAGCTTAATCTTAAGTGATTCCAGTCCAGAATTCTCAGGAATAATAATAAAGGAATGTCTTACTGGAGCAGCATCCCCACAAGTAAGGGAGAGACTATTGTAAGAAACTTCTCATTCCAACTTCTGCCTGTCACAAATCTCCACCTTTGTCTTATCTCCCTTATTTCTACCATTGTTGCATCTTGCCCTCCCTCTCAAACACATTTTTCAAATGTACCTAAATCCATCGTCCCTCATTCACCAACTTTTCAGCACCTACTTTTTGTTTTATTGGATGCAAGAGAAGTGCTCACTACATGATCTAGATCTTCTTTCAAACTCCGATTCTCATCCTGTAATTCCTTGATGTTCCGGGATAATCTCAGGACAGCAGCGTTCAGTGCCTTTAGTCGTTTTTGGGTATCTCTGCCCTCTGTACTTGAAAAGAGTCAAGAATAGAAAGTTAACTTAAAAGCAGAGAACAAAAAAGCAGCATCAGAAGGAATGGAACAGCCTCACTGTCCAAGTCGGCTGGCTAGTTTAACTGTTGCAGCTCCCTCCCTGATAGCATTGCACAACTTTCTTGATATGAGGAGTTGAACACTTTTTCCTAAAAGAATAAAGATTGTCTTGCTCAATTTCACAATTGTTGTATGAGTTGCATTTATTTATTCTTCTACTTGTTTTGTTAACCAATCATATAATGCTTTACCAGTGATCTACGGACCACAGATTAAAAAACACTTATCTACTGCTTTTGGAGAGGCTTCTACAAAAAGCTGCTCAGCACAGGAAGCTAACCTGTGTTTACTGAATTGCCTTTTTTTTCCCACTCAACAAGCAGATTGAGATTGGAAGTGCAGGCTATACACAGGAAAAATAACTCAAATCCAACATATAAATGTATTTTACACATAAATGTAACTATAAACGCTTTAATATGAAGGAAACTGGTTCTGAGACTGTGAACCCCTCAGAAATCTCTTTAAGGTACATTTCAATCAATGAGAAATTTGAAATGGATTTGGAGGATATAACTTACATTGATGTGGTGGGAGAGGCACCAGAAAAGGGAAAGTCTGCTTTCCTGTGTTAAGAACGCTTTAAATGTCAGTGATTTTGCTTATTTTTTTTCTCTAATAAAAGGAAACTCCGCTTCCAGATGTTCAAAATTGCAAAGTTTGATCACAAAACAGATTTCTAGTGGGATGAAATAATTGTTCCTTACCACTGTGAGAAATATCCTGAAAACAAAGAATGGACTTACTTTTGGACAAATGCCAATGACAATCATGGAACAGTTTGTGAAGGAACCTTAAATCACTTATTTGCTGAAATAATTATAAGATGAAGGGGAAGACAGTCTACAATTAGGCTAAGCAAAAAGATACCTAATTTACCTTTGGAAATTCAAAGGAAAGGAAGGCAGGAAAACAAATAAATAAAGCTGTTCAGGTATCATGGATGACTATTCATAAAACTGTCCCAAGCAGGGAGTAGGGGGAAAAAAAAAGTCACCAAAAGTGGGAAACGACAGAAACGATCGAAATCGTAATTGCATGACTGCATGCCATTATTTTAGGCTCATCAAAACCAAACTGAAACCACTGCAGACCATGTTAGGGGTTTGAAAATTTGTCTAGTCTTTAGCTACAATTGGGAACCACAGCCTCACATACAAACACTCATAGTTCAGTGTAAATACTGAAGAGGAGCTAAACGCCATTCACTTCAGCCAGAAATAATGTAGACAAGCATCATGAAAGAAACACTCTCCTACAACTCCTTCTATGTGCCAGAGTCCTGACCTTCAACAGCACCTATTATTTCAGTGCTTGGCCTCTCAAGGAGAGACTGACGCTCATATAATTGAGAGAGACTGCCCTGACCACTGCTTTTTGAAGCTATGAATAAATGAGGACAAGGAAGAGACCCAATGATTCATTTTCACCTGTGACTAAATTAAGTGTGATGGCTTACAGCCTTGAGAGCTAGTCACCACATGCCTGAGCCAAGAGAAGATTTTTTTAGTTTTTTAAAAAGTGGCAAACCAAATTCCTGTTTTTAATCCACACAAGTCAACAGAAATCAACAAAACACAACCAGTGCACATAACGACCCACAAAGAGCTCTCATGTTTCTATCAATCCATATAATGACAACCAAAATTAAGATAGCTGCCTGTGCTTAAAACAAAGCACAGAGGACAATCAAGTGGTGTGCGTCACTAGTGCAGTACATTTTCCTACCCCACAAGACTGTTACCCTCTACTCAGCTCAACTAACACTCACTTGCTCTTACTTTCCTTTTTTATTGTAGCTCATTTTTTTGCCTTTTGTGCTTTGATTTTTATTTCCTCTGTATATCACTTCTCACAGCATGTTTACCCTCATCACCATCTGTACACCTGCGCACTGGTGACAAGCACCAGCAGAAGCTTTCCTGACAGTGTCTTACTAGCGCCACTCATGGATATCTCACAAAAGATACTCTGAGATTTGGATCTGTATCTCTGTAACGCAAGAAAATCAAGTTTACTCCAAAATAACTTCAGTGCAGCACGCACCATAGAGCAGGGCCCAGAACTGACTCAACAGTAAAATGTCAAAATTCTGTTGAGTTTGTTTTAATCAGCAGTGATATCAGAATAAGCATAATTATGGGGGAAGATGGATTTTATTTAACAAATAAACTTTCTGAGCTTCTGTGGACTTTTTAAATAGCTCTAGCATTTTTCCCACATCCACAATATGATCTATCTCCAGAAAAAAATGTGACTAAGACACATGCTAAGGCTGTGAAGCTAACCAAAGCAGTATGAAAAAGCAAATCCAACAATCTAAATGACAAAATAAACAGTTTCCATGTAAGTGTTTTCCAAAGTAGTATATGAGTGACATATGAAACATATATACATGTACACTAATATTTGCTTCAAAAGAATGAAACATACTTTTTCCTCATAGTTTCAGATTTTGCCAGGAGGACTTGGAGACGATGAACCTGTGAAGTATGAAATACAGATTCTATTAATGTGCTAGCTGTGGGAAACTCACATCATTAATGAAATACATTTGGTCATTAGGTGAAAATCAGAGCAAGACCTTTTGGGTAGTAGCAGAGGCAACAATGCCATCACTGAAAATCAGGCTATTGTTATGTTGCCTTTCACCTATGCACTACACATAAATGTACATTAGTTTCATTATTTCCCCTTCTTGATTAATACACAACTTATTGAGGAAAATAGGTTTTTCAGTGCATATACATGTAGAAGGAGCTGTAAGAATGCCAGTGAAAATCTGATTCTAAGACAGGTTTCTTACAGCTTAGCTGCACCTATCTAAAACTTTCTATTTATACTTCAATTCAACAACTGAAAAACTTCCTTTCTAGTACACATGATGAAAGCCTTGTCAGATGTACCTCTTCATAGTAGGTTTCCATTGCTATCCTCATTTCTTCCAAATTATTGGTCTTCAGGTCTGACTGGAATTTGCTAAAAATAGAAGAAAAAAAATAATCACTGGTAAAGCCACAGTAATACCTGTTGGTTTACAGTTTCTGGGTGGGTGGTTTATCATTTTCTAAGATGTTCTCTGAGTTTGCTAGTTCATGTTACGAAACAGCAGAATATGGGTAAAAAATATTGGGTTTCAGATTCCCTTGATTGTCTTATCCAATACAAGCCCCTACCCCTCCAAAGTCATACTTGATAGCGTTGTCTTTCTCCTTGCACTGTTGTTCTAGCTTGAGAACCTTCTGCTTTAATCCACTAACCACCTACAGAAAGAACAAAGAGCTCATCAGTCCTACAGTAATCCATCTCTTCACAGAAGTTGCATTTCTCCATAATCTCACCCTCTCTTTATAAATTGTACCTATCAGATATACTTATTCTAACTTACTTTAGCACTTATTAAATCACATGCACGTCTGTTATTTTGTTTCAAACAGGACACTAAAGAAATTAGATCCCTAACTTTTATCTATGGTAATATAACCAGTTTTATAATATTTACACATAATCACTAAATAAAAACAATTCTGCCCGTTATTTGCTGCTTTGAGTGTAGCAGGATAACAGGGAGAACACAGATGCAAACAGACTCAAAGAAGTGACAAAGAGAGCTCTCTACAAATCAATTAATTCCAGATCCTTGTTACCTGACTATAAAAATTATTGTTACACTAACTGTTTATTCTTTCTTACTTCATTCTATTTTTTTATTCAGTAGTGATTCAACTTGGCAAGAGCAAAAAAAGATAAATGAAAGCAAAAGATAGCAAACTATTACCCATCCATTGTCAGACTTCTTTTCTGACAAAGCTCGTGCCAGCTCAGAGCACTGCAAGAGAAGACAAATAATGCAAATGACCAACTTTGCTACTTTATTCTACTGTCAGCTCTTTCCATGGAATTTTCTAATCTACTTTGTCTCCACAGTCATTTCACAGTCCAACAGCTTAAATTTAGAAGTCCCTACGCTCACCAGTTCCTATTAGGATGCTTCTCTGGAGATACAGAAGAGTACACAGAAAACAACAGGCACAAGGAATTGTATTGGGTTTATGTGGACAGATTTTGGTAGCGGGGGGCTGCAGGGGTGGCCTCTGTGAGTAGAGTCCAGAAGATGCCACACATTAGATAAGAGCCAGCTCCAGCTGGCTCCAAAAGGGACCTGCTACACTGCTGAGCCAGTGAGTGATGCTGTTTGCGCCTCTATGAGAGCATATTTAAGAAAATAATAATAATAAATAAAAAAAAAGAAAAAAACAGCAACAGCAGCTGAGAGAAAGAAGTTACAGCCTGTGGAGAGGAGCCCACAAATGAGCAGGTGATCTGGTGGGAGCTGCTGCCCATGGGGGACCCATGCTGGAGCAGTTTGCTCCTAAAGGATGGACTCTGTGGTACGGACCCTTCATATTCTCCTAGGAAAAAAGGCTGGGAGAGCTGGGGATGTTCAGCCTAAGAAGAGAAGGCTCCGGGGTGACCTTGTTGCGGTTTTTCAATTCTTAAAGGGGGCTTATAAAAAAGACAGAGAGCAACTTTATGCTCAGTCAGATAATGACATGAGGATGTGGAACGATTTTTAACTGCAAGAGGGGAGATTTAGATTAGAGGTTAGGAGGAAGTTCTTCACTCAGAGGGCCACTGAACAGGTTGCCCAGAGAGGCTGTGGATGCCCCATCCCTGCAGATGTTCAAAACCAGGCTGGATGAGGCCGTGAGCAACCTGATCCAGTGGGCAGCATCCCTGCCTGTGGCAGGGAGGTTGTAACAAGTTAGTCTTTAATGTCCCTTCCAACCCAAGCTGTCCTGTGATTGTATGACCCACACTGGAGCAGTTCCTCAACTGTGGAAAGCCCACACAGCATCAGTTTGGGGAGGACAGCATCCCATGGGAGGGACTCCACACTGGAGCAGGGGAAGAAAATGACCACAAAGGAGCAGCAGCTGACGAAGTCCTATGAAGTGCTATGGACTGACCCCAGCTCCCTAGTTCTTGTTCCCCTGCAGTGCTCGGGGAAAGGAGGTAGAAGTGGGTGGACCTGGGGTGAAGAAGGAAGCTCAGTTTGCTTTTAGTTTCTCACTGTCTATTAGTAATAGGGAATAAATTATATTCATCTCTCTACATTGAGTCTGTTTTGCTTATGATGGTAATTGGTGAGTGATCCCCCTGTCTTTATCTCAACCCTTGAGCCCTTTTTCTTCATATACTCTGCCCCTCTTCCTTTGAGAAAGGGAATGAGAGTACAGCTGTGGTGGAGTATAGCTGATCATCAGGGTGAAAATACTACAAGAATTCAGTGAAATTCAGGTCTTCTATGATCCTAATTGTTTCTCAGCTTCATGGGTCTGAAAATAAAGCTCATTTTTGTTTCCTGGTTCAGGTCTTGGGACTGCATGCAACAGTCACCATGCAAGAGGTTAACTCCCTTCTACTCTCAGGCAAAACATTCAAAAAGCAGACATCTGAAGGGACAACAATTCAATTTTTCCTTAAGAAATGAAAATTATCTTTGCAAAATAAGCTTATCTGCACAGCATGGTGTTATCTTCCCTTAAAGTGAGCTGGAACAGTAAGCTGAGATACACAAAACGGAAATCACTTTGCACCAACCAACCACCTCTCATATTCAAGTTCATCACTCCTAGGAGTCAACACACTACAGACTTCTGAAATTCAGTGAGACAAAGAGATGAGGATCACACCACTCAGCACTCTTCTGCCTATTTTTATCCCTCTCCCCACACTTCTCCACCTCCCCATCTCCAAGAAATAGTCACCTTGGAAGGATCCAACAGTTGCTCAATCTGTTTATCCTTTCTGTTATTTTCTTCTTCCAGTCGACGAAGCTTAGTTTTCATTCGATCTCCTTCATTTTTCTGAGCTTGTATTGTCTAAAAGAGGAGGGAAAAATCCTAAGCTCATTTCAGAGACAAAATTTGTCTCTGAATTTTGACATGGAAATTTTGACACTGAATTTTGACATGGAAATGTTTTGATTCCGGTAACAATCCACTTATGATGGCCACGACAAAGCAGATAAAAAAAAAAAAAAAAAAGAAAAAAGACCATTACACTATGGCCAGGGCTGACATGTAACAGAGATGACAGGGAAAAGACAAAAAGAAAGTTTTAACAGAAAGGCAGCCTTCCACAAATGATCTACAACAGCCAAGATATTTGTTTATAGGTATCCCTGGGGTTCAACTTGCCTAGTGTTCAACTTGTCCTTGTCTTTCATACACTGCACAAAGATCAACTCACAAATTGTTAAAATGTGATGAATAACAGCCAAGAAGGGAGGAAAAAAAAGGAAGGGAAGGAGGGGTGTGCATGGAGAGTCAAAGAAACCAATGCAATGAACCTTTTTAGTGTCCAGCTAGGGCCATGGCTGGGGTTCAGGACTGGGTATACTTCAGGGCTTCCACCTCCAGAACTCAGAAGTATCTATCACACCATAAGAACAATGAAATTGCCTTAAACAGATGCAAGTTTAGTTTAGACCTTGCATTATAAATACAAAAAAATAAAATTTGGTGGATGTCTCAGTTGTAGAAACCAAAGTATTCTGAACCAACAAGGTCTGGACATCTAGAGATGGACAGAGCAGCCCTATGACTTTTATTATGTAAGCATCAGAGGGACAGTACCTTTTTAAGTTCTATTATTTCATCATACATATCTTCTTTTTCTTTGTAGTCAGGAGTTCCAGGAATGTAGCCTACACAAAAGGTACATAAAATAAGCAGATCTGAAAAAAAGTACCTTTCTCCTAAATAAAGATCTTCTAATTTAAAGAAAATATTTAGAACAGCACCAAAGTGAAAACTAGACCATTTTAAAAAGAAACGTGATCAAAGGAATTAATTTTATAAATTAAAATGGAGATGTTACCTTATGAACCTTCTGCCAGATTATACGTGAAATTTCTCTTAAGTATCTCTCTTTTCTCTCATGCTAGATTAAAATACGCATCTCAAGAAAAACAAACACTTCACAGAAGACTGAAGTCTTTCCATCCCAAGAAGTCAATTACTTACAAAAGATTTCTAAAAGATGTCCAAAAGACATTTTTCTATTGATGCCTAATGTGTGAAAGTGTATTGCCTTTCAGAGTTGCTGGAACCCATGCATAAGAATATAGGTATAATACCAGCATAGGTATCATTTGAAATGGAATTTAAGACTGGGAATTTTAACTTTACAGTTCTCATTGAAGAAGAACAGGATAGAAGTTTTATATTTTGCTTTTCTCATAAAAACCAGTTGATTTTAATATCACAACCACATGATAAAACACTTTCTAGAAAAGAAGTAAAAGGAGTCAATTACATAGAATTTCAGGCAAGCAGATGGTTTCTATCAATGGTTCCTAAACTATGCTTTGCAAAGTCACAATAAATTGTCTACAGCTGGCCCATTGAACCATATTATATTTGCAGCTTTTTCAGCTGAAAATGCATAGCAATTTGCAAGAAGTTCTGAAAGCTAATAGTGATTCATTGCTCACAAAAATCTGGGAAGCCGCCTTAACCAATTTACAAATCTCCAAAGTATTCCAATGATCACATTTTGACACATGTACTTTAATACAGGTTAAACTGAACGGGTCTTGCTTTACTAAAGCTAAGATCTTAAACAAATAATGTGTGGTTTTACATGGAAAAAGAAATGACATCACTAACTTTTATCTACCACACGATCACAGGGTTTACCATTACTAGAAGAACGGGAATGTTTTGGCTTCTTCATTCCTAGAGCTTCCTTCAAATACTCTGGAGTGCTACTAGAAACACTAGATCGCGCATGCCCCACGTCAACATCTGATTTCAGGGGGTGGCTCACTCCTGCCAACAAAAATGGAACAAAATGCAAAAGTCAGGGATAATTGTGAGTTACGTTTGTGGATTTATTCTGAGCAAATATGACACAGAAAGCTCCAGATGTTGTTAATCATTCCTACTACAAATTCCAATGCTCAAGATCAGATAACTCACAGTTCCAACCACCCAAGTAATACTGAAATGACTTCCTACGTACTCTAAACAAATACATATTTATTGTTTAAGAATCATATGTTAAGCTGTCCCCAACAGTAAATTTTATACACGTATGCAGATTAAATTTCTATACTAATACCTTGTTTCAGTGATCCCAGCCACATCTGCCTTGGGTTTTTTACAGCTGCGTTCTCAAAACGTGCACTGCCTGTTCCCTGCAGAGATCTCCAAACGGCAGTTTTTTTAGGATACAGTTGTGTGCTAGAGCTGTACGGAGACTCTAAACAAAAGAAAATATCTCTTGCGTTAAGAAGTTCAAGATCACAAAAATTCTGCCATGTGTTTCAAGGTTCCCAGACATAGCCCTATCACTTACAAATATATAAAAATAACATAAAAAATAATAATATGAAAATAATCAAGAACTCCAAGTAAGCTATACACTTCAATATTTAGCCTATAAAAATCTAACTTCACAAGTTATAGAACATAAATCTCAGATAGATGTGCTCTGCACACGCCAATGAGTAATTCTAGGGAGAATCATAAGGTGTTGTTTCAAATAAATCTTGCAGTTCCTGTGTCCCGTAGAAACCTATCTTGTTGAGTGTAATGGAAGCAGAAGAAAAGATTTTGCAACTCTTACTTGGTGACTTTGGAGGCTTGTGAAGAATTCTCTTCTTTAACTTCTGGAAGGAAAAAATATATATTATGTATATTTAAAATATTCCACCCTTCAAACACTTGAGCATATAACTGTAAAATCAACTCTGATTTTATATTAAGAGCACTTACTCTAATAACACAAAACCTGTGTAGAAAACAAAACCTGTAGCATTAAGTACATGTAGGATTGGCCACAGCAACAGTCACCAAAATTAAGGTGGTAACTACTGAAGTTTTAGGCTACAAAAAAGCATATTCATGCTCATAACATTAAGACCTTCCCCATCAGTACTAAGTACAAGTGACAACAAGAGTCCAAGATGATCACAAAACAGAGGCCGAACCATAGGACCATTTAGCTAAAGGAAAGGCTTGCTAAATTCCTTGCAAACACTGTAAAATGATTAGTTAGCCAAACATCATTTGCAGCCCCCAGAAGAATTTAGAGAAGGAGAATTTAGAAGCCAAAATTACAGCTGGAATTAGAAGAGGTTTTCATATCCAACTGCATTGCAATAACATTGTTACTTCTCTCTGACGGATGTCTTATTGATCAGGAGACATCACGTGGGTGTAGCGTGTGAAAGAACACTCTGAGAGGCCTTTTTAAGGCATTTATCTGCAGAATGCCATTAATAAAACTCACCATTTCTGCATCTGATTCACAGGTTATCACGGACAGGCTGTCATCTCCCTGGGAAATAAACACAAACGGCAATGTTTGCTACTCTCCAAATAAGTGGTTATAATGCATGTCCAGAAAACTTTATTTTCTGTTACTGTCACGACAGAATTTGAGTACAACAAATTCAAATGGGAAATGAGTTGCTACTTTTACAAAACACAGTATTATTTGCTCTAACACAAACATTCACTGTGATTCCTCCCTTGCTAAGCTATGGGAAGGAACATTTAATAAACTAGACTGGAGAAATAACTTGACTGAGAAAAAGACACAGCTAACGAATGAAAAAGAAACGTTTAATTTCCCCTCGTATTAAGCTGACAAATTTCTCTGCTTCTCAAACGTGAGCGTATCCATAGCAGAAAGAAAATTTCCACTTCTCTTTCAAATTATATGGAAGTGGGCTGCCCTCGCAGAAAGAACGTTTTCACTAGCTGCCAACTCCACGGCACTTACAGCTGCAGCACCATTCTTTGGAAAGATGCTGATCTATCTCACTGAGGGGCAGGGAGGGGGTGAAGTATTTTTTTTAGAACCCCAGTTAACAGAAAAGGAGATGGGATTGACAACACCAGAGCAGATACAACGGCATTTGGTGCTGGCTGCGAGCAAGCACGCACGCGTCTCACGCGCCATGCCGTCTAGTTTTTAATTTCCTGAGGCAATGTTCCCCGCAGCACACTGAGAGGTTCTTTTTATTTTTAAGGCCTTTTAATCGCTCTGCATGATCTCTCCACATAACTGCACCTATTGCAGGAGGAATCAGATAAAGAACGAGAAGGCACTCGGCCCCTAGAGAACATTCAGCGGGATATAGACGTGCCATGACAAAAACATTCCACTTCAGCAGGATATAAAGGTGCCCTGACAAGAACACCCTTGGAAGCCTTCACAGCCCCTCTTCCCCTGCAGAGCAGGCTCATCCCGGACAGGGAACACGGGGACTCTGCGCAAAACCCAAAGCTTCCTCCTGGCTGGGGAAGGAGAGGAAGAGGGCCACAAAACCCCTCACGCTAGGGGCCGAAGCCCTTCTCCTGAAGAGACTCCGGGCCTTGCCACGACCCCAGGCCGAGCGGTGGGCCCCGGCAGCCCTCTTCCTCTTCCTCTTCCTCCTCCTCATCCCCCTGCCCCCGCCGTTCCTTACCAGCTGCCCCTCCGCGGCCGCCTCTCCTGCCCCCCGGGCCATGACCGGGGGCGGCCTCAGAGGGGCCGGGGCGGCCGCGGCCTCCCCCTCACGGCACTTCCGGGTGCGCGGTCACCATGGCAACCGCGGGGCGGCCTAGCAGCGCTCCGCCCGCCGTGTGGGCACAACGGGGCCGTCCGCAAGCCTACGCAGGGTGCCAGCGGGTTCCCAACGGGTTCCTCGCCCTCGCCGCGGCTTCGTCGCTGCCGCCTCCAGGCCCCGGGAGCAGCCCGGCGGGCCCCGGCCGTGCCGCGGGCCGCCACCGCCCCCCAGCGGCCCTCAGCGCAGCGGGCCGCACTGCACGGCCATCGCGACACTCGCTTTACGGCCAGCGCTGGCAACGCGCGTCTCCATGGTTACGGTCGCCGTGGTTACGGTCTCCCTTGGTGACGGGGCCTGGCCGCCGGGGCCGCGCCGCCATGTCGGCCTGGCAGGCCTGGTTCGTCGCCCGCGCCCGCCGCAGGTTCGCCATGAGCCGCGAGTGCTCCCAGCTCCTGCCCCGCGTCTGCGCCGCCCTGGCTGACCCGCGGCAGCCCGGCTCCGACGACACCTGCCTGGAGAAGCTGCTCGACTGGCTGCGGGACTTGGCGGAGCTCGGTGAGGGCCCGCCGGGCTCTTCCCGCCGCCGCCCGCGGGTGGCCGGGGCTCGGCTGAGGGCCGGGAAGCCTCCCCCAGGGGTGCTGCTGGCCTCCAGAACCGCTGCTGGTGCCTGAGGCCTGTACCGGGCTCCAAATAAAGCCCAGCTCCTGTCAGGGGGCTGTGTGGTACAATCATCCCGAGCCTTAGTGCTGTGGGGTTGTGGCACAAGTGCTGGCAGTGACGCTCTTTTCTGTCCTCACTTGCTCTAGAGCCTACCCTGAACGTGGTGCAGGACAACCCCTGTCTGACAGAGTTCTTCACCTCCGTCCTGGCGCTACCAGAGCCGAGCCCGAGCATCCTCTCCTTCACTCTGCGGCTGGCTGGGTTACTTGCAGCTTCAGAAGATTGTTTCCAGCACTTGCAGGTGAGTCAGGTGCCTCAATTCTGCCTTCTCCTCTATGGAGAACTTGTGAAAATGTACCAATATTATTTCTATTTCAATATTGCATGCACTGAACAAGTCAAGAACAGTGATACTGCTATGAAGACCTACAATCAAGTTATCCCTTCAGTTCCCACATAAAGCAGCTGTCATTTTATTGCCGTCTTGCACCAAACAGCGCTATCAATGTTGATAAGTAGTACTTCTCAGTTTCAGTGCAAAACAGTACACGGAATAACAGTATCTCTAACAGTAATTGCAAAATATCCCATATACCCAGACAGATCCTTTAGATTTAAACTGCAATAACAGATGTAGTCTTCAGGTTGAAAGGAAATCTTTGATTTCCTGCAGAAACGTGGGAACTCTGCAAAGCCTAATTTTTAACAGCAGGGTACATTTGTAGAACAAACTGGAGAATCTGAAAGGCTTTCTCCAGGGAGGAGATACATGTAACATAAAGCAGACTAATGGAATTTGTGTGTATGCAGTTTTTCCCCGGAATCTTAAGAAACAAACAAACAAGCACTTACAGTGTTTAGTCTGTAAAAGACAGAGATGTTGCATTTAAGCATAAGATATGAAAGCGTGTTAGTGACTTGGATGACAGAGCAACCTCTCTGCACCCCTCAAGTCCCTTTGCTCGCTGTTTACTGTGTGCATTCTCTGTCCTCAGCAGGAGAACCTGTTGTTCAGGCTCTTTGGCACAGGTGGGACGCTGAACAGGGCAGTGTGGGACGATGCATCTGTGCGAAGTGGCTGGGTGGAGGGCGTGCACAGCATGATGCACCACCAGCCTGCCCTCCACTTCCTCTGCAACAGTGGTGAGTACTCCCAGGACTGGTAACTCCCCAAATTCCCTCTGTCCCTTCCATTCCAGACTGTTGCTCAGGTGTTGATTGAGAGAGAGAGAGAGGAGTTTACATTATGCAAGATAAAAAGCCATTTATCAAAAATTCTGAAGTCATTGAAAGAGAGTTGTTTTTTTATTAAATTGGTTATGTATTTAATTTTTTTTCAACAGTGAAGATGGTGTCCCTTATGGAGGGAGGAGAGGTCGATCTTATGAAACAGAGGCTAAGAATAGCTTATTAAAAACTTTTTGTATTTTTATTTACAATTCATACCAAATTATGTTTTGGTACATTTTGGTGTAATTTTAGAGCAGAAAAACTTGGGACTCATTTCTTAATGCTTACATTTGCAGTCCCATTGTCCTTATACAGCTATTTAATTTCTTCTGCTAACAGCTTTAGATTCCCTCTATAAAGGGGTCTAGAAGACTGAATTGGTGTTAACTGTGCAGCACGTAGTCCTGGCTATATGATGGTTAAGTGGTACTGCTGCTGCAATTCCCTTTTTTTTTCTTTACTGGCTGTGTCTGCAGATGGTACAAATTCCTTCCATAAATACACTGTCGACTCTCCTAAGATTGCTAACGTTATACAGAAGTCTTCTTCTGTTCCAGAGTTACAAACACACCTGAGGATCTAAAAAAATCTCTACTTTCTTTTGTTTGCTTATACTTAAGGACTGGATAACTTTAAAAAGGCATTAGAGACTACAAAATAAAATGTTAAAAAACGAAACCAAAAAAAAAGGAAAAAAACCGCTACATTTAAACCCATTTGATACCTGTACTTGAATAATATGCAGTCAGACCACAGCAAGGCTCCACAATAAGAGGGCAGCTATTTTGTTTTGTTTTTCCTTCCACTGACTTTTGCTTTGTTTTCACACAGAAGGTCTAGATGTAATCTTCACTCTGCAAGGAGATCCCAGCCTGTTTGTGGCTTCAGCTGCCAGTCAGCTTCTGGTGCACATGCTCACCCTCTCTGTAGAGTCTGAATCAACTACACCTCTCAGTGAAAAGGACTGCGACTGGCCAGCATGTGCCCAAATGATTATAAAGCATATAGAAGACTCTCTTCAGTCTGGCTCTGCCTCTCGTATCAATCAGTCATTAAAGCTATTAACTAGTTTGTTTGGCAGTTGTCGAGCTACTTGGACAGAAGTACTTTGGTTACGTATAGCAAAGCAAGTAGAGTCCTTCCTGACAGAAGACTCTGTTCAAACACGGCACATGCTGGCGGATCTTTTGCTGAACATGTCAAGGTGAGGATCTACTGATCTGGTAATTAGAAATACCCATTTTCCACCATTTGTATTAGTAAGACATATTACTTATGGTTCTCTTTCTTCACAGGTCTCCTGTGTTTTGTGACACTGAAGGCAGTTTTTGGGCATTAGTGACATCTGCTCTGGAACACTTAAGCCCAGTACAAGCAGGTCCTTTGGCAGTAGGAATTCTGAGTCTCCACAAATGGTAGGAGTTGCTGCTGTGAAATCTTTGCACTCTGCAGATGTGTGCAATGTATCTGGTGTATTTCTAAGAGCTATTTCTTGCCTGCACTGTGTTTTCTACTATGTTGCTTAATATGTAGGATGGGTTGGCAAGAACCAGGCAAGTAGTTAATGAGCTTCAGACACTGATAATTAGAAAGGTAGTTTTAAAGACACAAATGAAAGGAGCCAATGTCATGTATACATTTGCATCTTATCTACAACCAGCCCATCTCAGAAAGAAATGCCAGACTCCTTTAACTTTGGAAGTTAGGCCAAGGTTGATCATGATGGATACAATTTGACTGTCAAATCCAATAGTATTTGGTCAGTTTTCTCTTTCACCAAACCAAACTAGTGTAAGAACTTTCACTGCTGTCCAGCAGAAGCATACATCATGGAGACATCATGACATCATCTCTGTCAACAGTCATAGCAAAGCTTAGGTTAGAAGGAACCAGCAGAGGTGATCTAATTCAACTGCTTACTCATTGCAGGGCTGACTTCAAAGATGGATTGTGTTGCTCAGGGCCTTCACCAGTCAAGTTCCAGGTTTCTAAAGTTTCTCTGGGCAGCTTGTTCCAGTGTTTAATCAGTCTCACTCTGAAAAATATTTTCTATATATCCAGTTGGAATCTACCCTGTTGCAATTTAAGATTATTGCCTCTTGTCTAGTTATGCATCTCTGGGAAATCTACTGGCATCTTCTCTGTAAATCCCCTTTAGGTAGTGAAAAAGCATCAAGAAAACATCAGATGTTAAACAACTATAGCACATACAGATACTGATTTACAGGCTAATTAATACCTGTGTCTTAAGTTAAGGATACTTTTTTTCTTTGACACAAAATGGCTCTCTGTCTAAACATTCTTCTTACACAGGATTCCACTCTTCATTGCTGGATGAGGCTGCTTATGAATTTCATTTCTGCTCTCCTTTCAGTTAGCCAAGGAAGATTGGAAGGCGGCTTGAATTATGATAACACACTTACTGCTGTCACACTGCTGGCTTTTTAAGAAGCCTGTGTGAAAAACATTAATCTGCTCACTGTTTGGGGACAGATGTTTGGGAAAGATTTGTAGTGTTCTTGTTATGGTAACTGCTGTTTCCTCCTTGAAGCCCACAAGATGTGAGGATTCAGGCAATGACTGTTCTACTTCAGCCAATGGACTGTATTTTGAGAGCAGCCTCCCAGCCTCTGGAATATGCAGGTACAGTTGGGATACAAAAGTTAGAGGCTAGTCTGCTTGCCAGTGTTTTAAATGTCTGGTGCAGGCAAAACTGCAGGAGAAAGAATAGGAGGAGTCAAGGTCAGTAGCAGTGTTTGTGCTGAAGTGCAGCATCCTGCTGACAGTTGCATTTTAAGGGTTATTCACACTGCATCACCTGAAAACTGTAACTTGAAAAATCAACTTTAAAAATCACTATCATTTGTAGTCAGTAATAACCTGAGCTTCTCCCTTGTTTGATCCTCTAGGTTTGCTGGATGAGTCTGTTAGTGATCCCTCCACTGTCGAAAGCCTTCTGTCCTCCAAGTCATCTTGCGCTAGTCTCTTGTGTCAGACTCTTGCTCATTTGGAGAAGCTGCTGTCTCTGGTAATGTTTGGAGAAGAAAAAAGCCTGGGGGTCAAGTTGTCCTTGAAAGCTAGTATTGAGAGTAGTTACAAACATTTGCAGTAGATCTTAACACAGAGAGGAGTTGGCAGAAGGGCTTCCGTATGTTACAAAAAATAAAATGTAGCATGAGTCCAAATGGGAGAGCAGTGGAACACTGAAGCTTGTAGAGAGGCACTGTACTTTCTTTTAAATCCACCTTCACAAGCTTTGTTACCATACATCCCATCTACTGCAATTACTGATCCAGCGACAAACAGACTGCACTGCTTCCCCAAGTAAAGAATCTCATTTCACCTGTCCAGTAGTTCATTGGGAGAGAGGAAGATTACTTTTTGTACTTATTAGTATTGTGTTACCTTAAGAACACTAGAAGTTGTAATTTTTGCTGCGTCTTGACTAGAAACTCCTCCTCTGTATGCATGCTTGAAATATTTGCTGGAAACTTGCCTGTTTTTCCCCTTTCCATTAGATTCATTTGCCAGTGGATTTACCCTATACAGCTTTGCTACGTTCTTTCGTGACAATATTGCAATTCTGTAGTGGCCTCCTGATTCCAGCTACTTCTCTGGGAAGCAAGATAAGCCAAATTTTGATTGGTTGCGGCAGAGTACAGAAGTCAGCTCTGGATGCCTTGGCAGCACTTTCTGAACGGAAAGGTGAGTTAATCCTAGCTCTTCATTTTAAGTTACTTGACTAATCTATAATCACAGAATTTTCAATCCCCCTTCACCAGTCTTTCTGAATGAAGACTATTAATTCCATTTGTTTGAAATGCATTTGGTTTTCCCCATTCTTCCTACTGTCTTGGCTAACCTTACTTTCTGTTGATAATTTAGGTCAGGTAATGCTGCATTTGAAGAAGCTTAGTGGTTGTGACAAGTTGAATATTTCTCCTTTTGAGGACTGTACTTTATTCTGTAAAACAGCATTATGATATTTCTTTCTGTGTTACAAGAGTTGAATTGTCCCCTCGTCTCAATATTGATTTTTCAGTTTGGGTTTGTTTTTTAAATGTTTCAGGCTGTGACACAGTCATAGGAAGTCTATTTGACATCCTTCTGGTATACCTGGAGAGTCCAAACACCAGCCCTACTGTGAGTATAACACTAAAGAAAAAGCCAATTCTATTAGCTTACCCAGTGGGATGTAGTCTTAAGAAATAGTGTGACAGTAGTTGTTTCTTACCACAGTTTCTGTTAGACTATCTGGAAGACTTGTTCTGGGTGTCTTGCGGGAAATCACTAAAATACTAGTGAGCGAGTAATGAGCCAGTAAATCTGGTGTTCCTGAAAAGACAGGAGACCTCACATCTGAGAGTAGGACCAACATACTCAACTTGATACAACCTTGCATTAATTTTTTGTTTTTTTGCTTTTTGTCCCAATAACTTGGGTGAGAAGTGCAAATCAAAAGCTGGAGACACTACCAGTTTGTTTTTAAATTTGAGAACAGGCATTATCTAGGAGTCTGCTAGAGATGTTATAACGTTATATACGCACTATTTATTTGTGGCTTTCTTCTTAGTGTGGAAGCATATGTTTTGTTTCCTCTGAGAATTTCTCTGTAATCCTGAGCCAAAACAAATTTTATCTAGCGTAAAAGTAACAACACTGCCTTCTGCAATATAGTAAATCTGCTTTATATTGCCTCAGGTACTGAAGAAGTCATTTCAAGCTATGTCCAAATGGTTGGCACGCTTGCCAGAAATGTCCTGCTTCAACAATCAGTGGCAAACTGAGAAGATTTTGCAAGGTAACAAAGCTATTCTAGTTAGGACAAACCGCAGCTAGTGGTACATCTGAAATCTGCTCTCACCTACCTTTCCCACTCAAAGCACTTAGGATTTGTTTATTTGCAGTTATGGTGAATTTAGGTTTATCTGCTCAGATAGTGCTTTGAAGAACTCCGGGAGAAGCACACAGCATCAACAAAAAGGATTGCATCAGATAAAGTGATGCAGAGGTTGTACATAGATTGCTCCGGTTAGGTTTGTTACCTTTCATGTTCATTCAAACTTGTCACTTGGCTTTCATAGATGTGTTTCTGGTGCTTCAGAAGCGTTTGTGCAGTCCTTGTTGGGAAGTACGAGATTCTTCTCTGGAGTTCCTCACCTCCTTGATTAAAAGCATGAGAGGTATGTGCAGAAATTTAATTGTTCAGATTAGAGGAGTATTTCTTCTAATGCTGTGGAAGCCAATAAGGCTTGTGCAGCATCTCTGACCTGTAACTGCAGGGGTAAGAAAGAAAAAAAAAAAGTTCAACCTTTTACTCTCAGATCATGATAAAAATCTGACAAGAAGATTGATAAATTTACCCTGCTTTTCTGTAGAACTCTGATTGCTGTGTCTCCCTTAATGGTAGTTTTGGCAAGTTAAGCTGAGGGGTGTTGAGACAGTCATCTCTGTTGAGACATATGTCAGAGGAGGTGACAGTGCTTAAGCAGATAATAACTTTCCTTCTACCGAGTTTGCTCAGCAGTGGAAACAAACAGATTCCACTCAGCAGGCTGGGGGCTGTGATATAGAAGGCTCTGAAAGCCTAGGTCTATTTTGCATGCTTTGAATTAGCTACTGCTTCTCCGCTTTACTGGTAGCTCAAGCACCGCAGTGGGTAGCACTAAGGTAACATTAATTCTCCTACAGTAGCTCTGTGATGTTAGAATAGAGGAGGATGTTGTCTCCCACTGCTGTCCCCAGGTCACAGAGGAAGTATCCAGCACACTCAGCTCTATTAGCATTCTACCCTGCAGCCTTTTCCCGTGATACTGCTGTAATTGCATTTTTTTTCTTTGCCGTATGCCTCAAAACCAATAAGGGAGGACAATATTTTTTCTACCTTTAAGCAAAAGTTTGATGGAGCTGAAGCCATGTGGCCATTTACCTGAAGCAAGTCTTTTCTCACCATTAGAACAACTGCAGGTAGATTTGTCCAAACTCTAGCATTAAGCAGGGCTTGACTGGAAGTCGTCAAGCTGCTGCGAAACAGGAAGCCTTACACAGGGTGTCTGTGCTCCTGTGAGCAGCTGCCTGCTCTCTGCAGTGGCTCAACTCAACTGGCAGCTGTCCCTGCAGTCAGCAGGCATCGTTATATGACACAAAGAACTGTTTGCATTGGAGAAAACTTCATATTCTGAGAGAGTAAAGCCTCGCTTCTTTGGATTGCTGTCTTGCTTGCAGACCAGGATGAGTTCAAGGAGTCCCTCCTGTCTTCAGAAGTGCCAAAGCTTACAGAAAATCTTCTTGAGGATCCAGAGAGCTATGTGCGAGCGAGCGCTGTGACTGCTGTGGGACACTTGACCTTCATTACTTACTCTCTTCCGGAGACACCTGTCGCAGGGAATCAGTACAATAAAGAGGTATGATAACTTTGTGTAGTCCACTGCAGACTCGAGCAGAACCACACATCAGTTTACAGGTGTATTACAACTTTCTAAGTCACCTGCAGTCTACTGCAGGCATATTACACAACCAGCAGTGAAAAGGGACTGAATTTTTCTGATCTATATATATTAGATTTTTTTGTGTGTGCATGTTCCTCCCCTCTTTGTACTTTGTCTTCCGACATTTAGGACACTACAGCAAAGCTTCAGGATATCTTGTCGACAGACCCAGAGAGCTTTCCTCGGAGGGCTGTGATCAGCATCTTCACCAAGTGGCTGAAACAAGGCTGCACAGATCAAGCGGAAGATACAGAGAAGTTTGTCTCTAGAGTGATCCAAACTGTAGAGCGTGACTTAGACTGGGAAGTCAGAATTGGTGGCCTGGAACTGGTTGAAGTTTTCTGTGTCCAGACACTTTGCCGAGCGGGCCTTCCTAAATACCCCTCTGCTGCTGCCTCATCCACAGTCACTAGTTCCATTCAGCAGAATGAGTCGCTGCAGATATTTTGCCGAGCAAAACTGTTCAGGTTTTTGTTTTGGTCTTTGTGTGACTATGACAAGCCAGTGGGTCAGAAAGCCTGTGATATACTGCTCGTCTTAAGAGCTAGTCTCTCTCCAAGTGGCTTGCTGAAAGATTGCCAAGGAGCTGGAGATGTATCTGTTGGACATGGCATTCCTTGGTTGCAAAGGACTCTAAGGCAGGGTTCTCTGGCTCAGGACTTCCCAACAGATGGTGGTAATGGGGTGGACTTTGAAGATCCAGAGAGCATGATGCTAGCTTTGGGAACGATAGACTTAGAAGAACTACATGATGAACTAAATAAAAGTAGTGACCACATAGAGAAAAGCCCTCAGTCCCTTTTAGAGGACATCCTTGCTACTGTGGGCACCATAGACGAGAATGAAGCTGACTGTTACTAAAGACATGTTTTGCTCTGAGGAAATAGTGCTGAAACAGTTCTATTCCGGAGGAGAATTTTTGCTACCAGTCTTCAGTCTTTCATGAGAGGAGATCAAAAAAGCGTTACTCTGAATGGAGAAAAGGATGGTTTTGTTAGCTGTGAAGAGGTTAGAAAATCTTTGCTTTAATACTGATGATTTTGTTTTAAGTACAGTCTCTAAGGAATTGATCTGCATTTTTTCTAAAGTAAATAAATTCATTTGTTCTGTTTTTTAAGTTGTATGTATCTTAAGAAAGCACCAGACCCTGCCTACATAAAGAAACATTTTAAAAACCAAAACAGTGAATGAAAACAAGATGTTGCATGCTCTTTTTTGAGCCAGAGTATCTACACCTGATCAAGACTTGTCTTTAAGAAATTCTTTTTTGTTTTTTACCTTGTCCATATCTCCATTCTAGAAACAAGAATTCTCAAGTTCCCGGCTATGTTTTGAGGCCCACACAGGAAGGTAGCATTCAGAGAGTCAAGTGTACTGATTACAAATGTTCTTTCATAAAGAAAGATAATGTTCACGTACCAGTTCAATCTCGGCAATGACACTAAAAAAGCTGACATTAATTGAAGCTAGAAGCAAGTTTATTTTGTTGAATTTTTCAAGTGCTCATATTTTGCATTCCTGAAGAACTAATATAGCTTTTAAGTAGTATGAGAAATCGACACCTGCAGCTTTTCCTATCAGAAAATAGATCCATCCTTAGCTTTGGTTAAAAAACAAACAAACAAACCACCACCACCACCAATTAGAAAACAGCAGCTGCAGAGAGAATGGCAACATTATGAGGGGAACTTTTTTTTAAAAAAAAAAAAAAGCTCAGGGAAGATGGGAACACTAGATTTTGATTTACTCCAATGTCTCACCTTATGATAAGAAGCCATCCATAACCTAGAATAAAAAGCAGTACCTTCAGGAATAGGGCAAACCATGCTGTATTCCTTTCCAGTGCTCAGGTGTTTGCCTCATTTATTCTCCCTCAGCCTAGAGAGGGACAGGAACACAACGCTCATTTTAGGCTAATGGAGGCTGTAGCATTTGATGCAGTGAAGTAACTTTCTCATACCATTTCATCCTTCACTATAAACCCCTGCAGCAGTACAGTGGGGTGAGATGTAGTTTTAATTTCATGCTGCTGAGGTTGAAAATGTACTCCATGCCTTTTTACAAAGTCAGTACACTTACCTATTGCTTTATGCATGACAGAGCTCTTGGGTATTCTAACAGCAGCTGTTACTGGAAGAAACCAGCTCTGCTGCTATACAGTTCTACCTGGGCAGGTCCTATACCTAGTCAGAGACAGAAGACAGAATAAAAAAAATAAAATCAGGTCTTTGGTTGCCATTGCATTTTTCCTCAGAACCCGAGTTAGTTGGAGAGAAGACAGTTGATTTTAAAGCGTGGATTGATTGTGGAGATTTAGCAAGCCTGTCTAGTAAAGGGATTCTAATTCCAAAATTAGCGTTACATATTGGCAATACCAGATATGTTCAGTTATGCTTCAGAAAAGGAGGCAGCAGGTTGCTGAGTAAATACCTTCCTCCTGTTCAGCACTAGAATCCTTGAGATTTCAGGGTTGTGCAGTTTGAATTATTCCTTGGAGTCTCAAACATCAGCAAATTGAACAAATGTCTTCTTACAGAAGGGAGACTCCAGCACATACTACCAAGGTCTCTTGATTCCCAGTCCTATTAACTTTTAATGGAACTTTTTCCCTTTTTGTATAGGCTGGGGTGATGGTGACATTGCTAAGTTTATACTGCTTTCCTAACTGTGGTCCAAAGTCCTGTTTAAACACAGGATACTTGTTCCACTAAAAATCAGACGCGTAACAAACTCTTAAGCAAGAAGTTCCTTATCTTTGGATGGGGAATTAAAGACTCCTTTCATGTTTCATTAAAACCAGGTCTCCATCTCCAGCAATTAGGTGACTCAATTCTGATTTTGTACTTCCCAACTCACTGCATTCCCTTATTTTGTTTTCTCTGCCTCTATGGCTATAGAAGAGTCTTGCTGAGGTGCTTGTACTGACATCCTGCACCTGATAACTGGGAGAAATAGTCATAAACATCTGAGCAGCATGAGGAACAAATGCCAGGGAACAGAGAGATTAATGGAGATGAAAGTAAAAGAGGGGAAAAAAAAAAAAAAAAAAAAAAAAAAAAAAAAAAAAAAGGACTTTCTACAGAAAGATTGCAGTGGGATTTGCAAGCTGAAAGTTTAGCTACTGAATTGGTAAACACACCACAGCTACCAGTGCAAATCATCCATCTTGCTGGGAAGCAACACCTTCTCTATGACCTCATTAAGAGCACATGTGCAATCTCTACCCCACTGACTTACATTACCTACCAAAGCTGTTTTGACCCTTACCCAACCACACAGCTTTCTGCTGGGATAAGCATTTATACTGTTCGCTGTTCCCTGCCAAGGAATTGTGAGCCTGATGCACCTGGAGGGGTAGGGTCTACCTTCCAAGGCCATATTCACACTCTAGAAACAAGATTCATCACCCCCCAGCATGCATACTGACCCTTCAGTCCTGGTGCCACTGCTGCTTACCACTTTGCACAATGAGAACAGTGGTCCTTGAATAAACTTTACGTTTCTGCCACATGCCAAGGACCCCAGTGATGTGAAGAAGGTTTGGCTGCCTGGCCTTCAGTTACAGACACACGAGAAAGCTGCAAGCTGCCTTTCTGGGATGAGTTTCTGTGGAAACCGCTGCTCTCACACCATCAGCGCTGTGGCTGAACAGCTCCTGCAGGAGGCAGGCACCACCGAGAGAGTTTTCCCCGTCCTCACGCTACAGCCGATTTCAGCAAAGCCTGTGCCAGGCACGGGCTTCATTTAACGTAAGAGGCACCAACACTCAGGACTGTCATTTACTTTAATGTGGCTTGCAGGTGGCAGGCAGCAGCAACACAAGTGGTATCAACACAGAACATCACAGATTAGTAAAATCCACATCTCTGATGGCTGATGCTGTGAATGAAGATGACAGAGCTTATTCCAGCCCTTTATCTGAACAGGGGCAACTTAAGCTGTGTTTCCTGATCTATACACAGGTATGAAATTCCTAGAGTCATTTTCAATGCATTTCAACAAAACTCTGAAAAAAGGATTTATCCTCCAACTACTCAGACTCAAATGGAGACAGTGGTGAATAAGCATCTTTGGCTCATTCCTACATAGTAATGGCTATACAACAGCTGCCAAGAGTATGGTCATTAATTTTCTGTTTTAATACACTGGACATTTAAAATCCAAAGAGTATTCTTTGCCTAATTCTACTAATTGCATCATGTAAGTAAAAAAAAATGAGACGTAAGTGTCTAAGGCTGTTACTTTAGCTTAGATACATGACCTGTGATTACAGATCAACTCAGGCATATCTTCGAAATTTCTTTCGTCCATCTAGTAAAATTTGCTCTACCTTTCAATACATATTCATCAAGGCTTTTAAAAGCCACTGTGTGTTACAGAGGAAACTCATCAGCCAGCTTCACTGCTGAAGCTCTCAGTAATTTACAGTGGAAAAATGTATCAGTAGCAACACCCCTGTAGTCTGTGTCATTTCCCTTCAGCACAGTGGTTTCTGTCCTCTGCTGAGAAATAAAGCACCTCTTAACACGTCCAGACCTCAGCCTGCATCAGACCTGCTTCTCCACAGACAGGCCAGACCTTGCACATAGCTTCATGAGCCGGCACACAGAGAAGTGTCTTTCAGACAAGTGGTGTGCCTGCGCAGAAAAGGGGGAACAAAGCTGGTGATGTTTCACTGCTGCTGCAATGAAAGCATTCAGGGCGCTGCAAACACACCCTGGATATGCCTGTAACTCGCCCCCAGATGGAAGGGAAAGCAAGCAGTCCACATCAAGAGCCCCTGCAATAGTAAAGGAGTAATTGCTGCTGCCTGACCATCAGTAATACCAAATCTCTGCTGAGAGCTCAGCAGCATCACACCTTAAAGGATGTATTTACCACAACCAGGTGACAGGGCTGGGAAATGCCTTTCACGTGCCTGCCTCCAGAACAAACCCAGCCAAACCAAGTCACTCCCCAGCTCATTCTGCAGCCACAGGGGGGTGACCGCAGGGGCAGGAACATATCATGCAGGACAGAGATTGTGCCAGCCCCTTCTGGGGACTTTCCCCAGTTAGCCCAGGTCAGGTGTAAAATAAAGTTGTGATCATAAAGAGCTTGAGCTGCAGACTACCCACTTTCACACCCTTTTAGTGCTAGGTAGGGCGGGAATTACCTGTAGGATGCAGATACACTTTCAGACCTTCAGATTCCTCCATTTCCTTGTTTCTTGGTCTTCACAGTTCTGTCTTCATTCACCTCATACTCCCTGAGCTTTCAGGCTGTATTGGTAGAAAGGAGAAGACAGCTCATGCTGCTGTGCGTGTGAACACCAGGGCTGGCCTTCACTGTCCCCCACCACCACCACCCCACCGCTGCTCAGGGAGATGACATTTCAACCACGACCAGGCCCTGGGCTGTGACATTTCAGCCACAAACAGGCCCTGAACAGAGGAGCTGCATCACCAGGGCTAACAGATGGAGAATCAGGCTGTATATTTCAAAACAAGGCATAGCCCAGCCATGCTGGCTCCAAAATAAACCCTCGTTAGGCTGCATTAGCCATAACACCTGCACTCCAGGTGTATGCAGGCCTTGATATGGGCACAGGTGAACCCTGGGGTTCACTGCATTCAGGTGCACCCTTTTTGGGATGGGTCTGACAATTAAAGCTCTCATTAGGCACCAACAAGGAAAAGCAGTGGTTAAAAAACAAATGGCAGCTGTTGCTAAGTGACAGCATCCACACAGGCCTGTCCCAGCCACGGGACAGGCCGCTGCAGCTGTGCAACAACTCCATCTTGTCTGTAGAGCTGAGGGAAAAAATGCTGGTTTCATTACTTTCTGGTAACCTTAACCAGAATATTGTATGGTTTGGGTTCTGACAAAGAGCCCTATGAGAACAAAGCTGAGGCCTCCGCTGAAACCAAAGCAAGAAAGTTTGATTAAAAAATACCTTTAATATTGCATGCTCTTTCAACTTTTTTTCATCCCCAGTGAACTAGCACACAAGACAACACCATGGCTATCTTGGGAGGAGTCCATTTCTGATTAACAGGAAATAAGTGACAAAATTTTCCATGAAGGTCATTTGAAATAAAAAAATAATAATAATAAAAACACACACAAAAAAAAACAACAATGCCACACCTGTCAGCTTCCAAAGCAAACCCACGGGCTACATTCAGCACTGAGTGTTTCTGTAACGTTTGAAAAAGATGATAACTTTTTCAGAGTTGCAAACAACATATGTCCTCATACATATTTAAACCGGACCTTGAAAAGTACACAAAGTGATGGGTGAGTTATTGAGGAGCCTGGGAGCTGGCAGGGCACAGAGGGGTCACTTGCTCCAGTGAAAGGGGTGGGAGGAAGCCGTACTAGGGCCCTAAACACCATTTTGCCTAAGTGGAGTATTGCAAATTCCAGAAGAGGAGAGAATATAATTAGCATGACTGGCAGCTTAATACAACCAAGGAAGAAACATTTAAAAAAAAGAAAAGAGTATTACAACCAGGCTGTGTAGAACTGGCTCACCCTACACACTACTACAGACTTTAACAAAAAATAAATCAAAACCACAAACTGTCTGAGGCTGTGCTGGCAGCAGAAACAAAGGGACCGATCCATCAACACCCTGTGAGCAGATAGGAAGTGACCAGGATACGTCACCACCCAGCTGCCGAGTGCCGGAGAAGTGCACAAACGCGTGAGCAGCTCAGCACGCCCCAACGCACGCGTGTGCTCTGTGCCGGCATGGCCACACTGCCAAACACGAGGGACCACCTCTCGCTGCTAGCACAGCACATCTTGGTGTGAAACACCCGGCCAGGGCGCTTGTGGCCACTGCTGCTTCAAGCAGCCATTCTCAGGGACTGCTGGACCAAGTCAAGCCCTTTTCTAATGAATTCTCTTCCAGCTCCAGCCCCAGAAGCCTCAATTTCCAACGCCGGGAGTAACAGCCCTGACCCTGCTGATGGCTTTAACACATGAGCTCGTGCCAGTGTGATCAGGGCTTGTCCAGGCAGATAAAGCCAACTTGACTACTGCCTTTGGTCAGTCCCCATGTTAACATATTAAACATTTCTGTTTTGTGCATTCTTCCAGAGAAAAATTCTATTTTTCTCTCAATTTTACCTAGAAATGCAGCTAGCTAGCTGTAGGTTCTTCTAGCTGTTCTCCTTATTGCTCAAATTGCTTCTCCACAGCCGGGAGTGCCTCATGCCAGCATTAAAGCCTTGTGCCCCTGCTCTCCAAATCACACAGCAAACATCACAGTGCAGACAAAGGTCTGAGTTCTCAGCAGCATTAAATTAACCAGCCCAAAGGTGCCGCCCGGCCAAACAAGAGACATGTCCTCCTCGCACACCACAGCAGGGCTTAGCCACGCTGGTACTACAGACATGTCATCGTGGAGAGAAGCAGAGAGACCTCCAGCCTCTCTAATTCCTGCTGCTGGGAACTTCTGCCCCAGAGGGATCAGCTGGGCCTTCCTCCCTAGTTTGGGAGCATCTTCTCCGCCCCTTGTTTATAGCGATGAGATCAAAAGATCCATCTCCATGGAAACGTCTGAGCTCAAAGAGTTTCTGCACTACAGCTCTGCATCCTGCTCACAGGCTTTGGCACTGTTTGTTGAAACAGAAGCTTTGAGATTCGATGTATCAGCACTCGCGTCTCTACATAAATGGCTTGATTAGTAAAAATTGATAGCACGAGCAGCACGTGTATAAATAGCACATGCCACAGAGCAGGAACAGCACAGCAAGTTCAAGGGTTTCACTAAAGATTTAGGGAGATTCCCTCTGAAATGAGGACTAGACGTGAGAGAACACCTTGTGCAACACAGCCAGTAGGCATGCGTTTTGTAACCCATGGGCTTTTGCTATGGGTCTAGGACAGGAGGGAGTCATCATACCTGTTGCAATGAGCTTTTTAGCAGCTTCAGCTGTATCCACAGCCCTTAATGAGCACAGTGTCCAGCTGCACACAGAGGCACAGTGGCTCCTACTGCTTCCAGGCTGTCCAAAGTAGATTAGAAACACGCGTGCTCTTCCACAGCTGACACACAGCCACCTACTGCCCTTTGTCCCCACATCCCAAACTGGGTAGGGCCTTCAGCAGACCTACAGCCCATGCTAAGGTGTACAGTGGCTGGAGCCCATCACCTCCCACTTCACACAGCTCATCTACAGGGATATTTGGACTGCCCCAGCAGAGACAAATAGCAGCACAACACCCAGCCCTGCAAAGCCTGCATGAATTCTGCACTCATACTGCTCCCTTGGGAGCAGCAGCCGCTGGGGGCACAGCTGCTGGGTCACTCCAGTGATTTCCCTTCTGGTAGCACTGAGCTCCAACTCCTCCGGCACAGTCACTCCTACAGCTAAGTCCCAGGAGAGGGAAAATAAAAAGAAATAAAGGAGACAGACATGGTTTATGACATTTTTATTCCCTGCTCAGCTCACCACATGGCCACACAAGCTGCTGAACTGCTGCACTGTGGGCAGGAGCGACCAGCTGGGAGGGAAACTACACATTGGCAGAAAGTAGATGTGGAACTGAAGCTCCACAAGAAATCCTGGATTCAGCTTAAACCTCATCAGAGCAGAGGCCAGAACAACAAGAAGAGAAGCAGAACTCACTTGTGAGGCTCACATTTTCATGGATGTGTTCTGAGAAGGGAGAGAAGCAAACAGCAAAGCAGAGCTGACAGCGCTGACCTGGAGAGCATCAGGCAGAGCCTGGGGCAGGACCAAGCCCCATCCGTCTCGCAGCACTGTCAGGGCCAGATCTGGCTCCCGCAGAAGTCACACTACGTCTTGCTACTGCTTGCAGCAGTGCTGAGCCCCAAGTTGCCCATTTGCACACAGAATGTTATTTTTATAATCATATTAAGAAATTTCAGAATAGCAACTGTGCAGAGAGCAACCCAGCTGCCAGTGTTTAGCCTTATCCTAGGGCACAGGCAGAATATGCCAGGCATGAATTAATACCGCATAAGCTGCACCATGCTGAGTTTCATGGCTTAATTATAAAAGAGAAAGCAATAATCAGGGGATCTGTAAGGCTAATAAGTGTTCTGAGAACACTGAGTGTGACACAAGAGCCTCAGCCAGTGCGACAGGACATGAACGCGTTTAAAAAGCACATCAATCACACGCTGCACATTAATTCACAGCTGGCTTCCAATGACAGCACTTGGCCTTTAGCCACCTTTGTAGCATCACTGTGCACAAGCGGATCAGCACCCAGCCCAGAGCAAAGCAGCCTGCCCGTGAGCCGAAGTTCCAGCCAGGACACAGAGCTCAGCCCAATGGGACATGGATGTGGGCTCGGGCTGAAAGCTCCACAGCCCTGCAACTCCCCCCAGCCGCATGCCTTTACACCCGGACTCAATTTAGTGCTAACACCAGTACCAGCATCCACCTGGTTGCACAGCACCATTCACAAGGTGAAAATGCAAGGAGAAAGTCCTGGTGAATTCTCCAGATGTCTCTGCAGTGAAATGTTTGGAAGTGCTTCCATTTCCCAGTGTCTCTGAGAAAATCTCTTCTCTCCATCTTGTATCTCATCTCACCGCAGCTTTTTAATTAAAAAACAGCTCGATGCGGGGCTTGTACCCTGCATAGAAACATAGGAATCTGTGAACATTTTTCTATAGAGTGCACTGTCTCCAGCTGGATTATTGGCCATGTGAAACTTGATGTCTAGGTGCCTCTCTTTTAGGGAAAACTCTGAGCCACTCCACCAGCACTATCACACAGCAATCCCCAAATTCCTCCGGCCCAAGATACCAGCACAGGAATTTCCCCAGCCTTTACCAGCTGCAGCTATCAGCAAGTTGCTCTTTGGGCTGAAATGCTGCAGGACTGGGTGCCAGCCCCAGCTGCAGGAGGGATAACGAAGCACTCCCAAACACGCACTTCTGCCCACTAGCTCACTACATCTGAGACAATTTGCTTGCTGCAAACTTCTCATCATCTAGCACTCCACAAAGGGCAGCTCTCTTCGCATTTATTTGTGCGAAGATCTATTATCAAAGAAAAGCATTACAAAGGAAGTATCTGCTCTTCTTCTCTTCCTAATAATCCCAAATTTAACTATGTCCTACTTAGCACCCCCTCTGGAACCAGGAAGCGAGATGCTATTTCTGCTGGCCTCAATACGCGAGCTCTGCTGAATCCCAGGGAAGGCACAGCCTGGGCTGAGTTTAAAGCCTGGGATGGGTTATTCAGGCAGCAGCCTCATTCCTCAGGGGTCCCAAACCTTAGTCTGAAGCCAAGAGGTAGCAATCCTCAACATTTTCAGCAGCAAAAATTATAAAATTAATTAAAAAAAAAAAAAAAAAAGGATAATCAGTCTGTACAATCCCTAGATACCTGACACCAGAGCAAATTTTTGCTCTAAAGTTGCATTCTTTTTGCTGCGAAAACTTGTCTGCATCCTCATCTGCGAAGACAGAAGAATGTGAAATTGCTCCTTCTCTTGACACCGTGGAGCATCCACACTGACTTCCCACAGGGAGATTTGGGAGATTTTAAACATGAGATTGGTGGTAAAAAGGGAAAACGACCCTGCATATGAGCAGAGCTTGGGAGTAAGATACATTCTCCTTAGATTAGCACAAAGACAGATTTGAAGCTCCCATTACCCAGCTCCATGGGCAGGCAGCCCCTTCTCAAGGGTCTCAAACACAACTTTTAAATCTGAATAAACCCACAGCATGAGAAACTGCCCAGAATACACATGGAAGCACGATCCAGTAACAGATTTGCAAATAAATGGCTCCCGCAGATCTTCTGCCCAGTGTTTTCATCTTCATTTAATAGCTGTTCTCCTTTCCCCTCCCTTCCCTTCCCTCTTCCCCCAGCATCAGCTTGTAACAGCAGATTGCGCTCGCTAATCAAAGAGGGGCCGGGCTCTCTGTGTTTGTTTCTTAACGTCTGTGTCACTACAGTAACACCAGCCAAACACTTGTTTTCATTAATGTTGCTCCCCAAGCCTGCCAATGGAGCCCAGACCGTGCCAGGACACAGCAGAGAGGGACAATTTCGCTGGTCGGGCACAATTCCAGATGGAGCACGAGCGCTGCCTCGGGGACACTGATGTCTCCACTCTATCACCTACCAGAAGGTGCCTGCTGCTCTCTTCTTCTCCTCCACCATCCTTCACTGCTGCTGCTCCTAGCTGCTCCATGGGGGATTTTGAAAGGAATCGTGGATTAAAAACAAAATAAAATGACCCAGGTATGATACTCGCATCACTGTTGACCTCCACAAGGTTTATCCCTGGGGCTGTTTAGGGGAGGGCGATGGATGGGGCACAAGGCAGCATCCCTGAGCACATCCTGGCACTCAGATGAGGATGGTTTGGGTAGTGCCCAGAGCAGCAGCTGGGCACAGGAGGAGCCTTTTCAAGCACCAGGACAATACAACACATTTTTAAAGGGTATCCTTGCGAGTGAATGGAAGAGAAGAGGAACGCTTCATCTCCCTTTCATGCCCTCTGATGTACACAAAGGGCCAAAACCACTGATGTCAGAGAGGAAGCACAAAGCTCCTGTGGCCTCATCTGACAGTCCCTCAGACTGCCCTGTTCAAGCAGAATGCCTGCTTTAATAACTCCTCCTCTCCTGCTTCAGACTTTCTAGCTAGAACCACCTTTTTGTAGAGCAGCAACGTAAGACTAGGCTGGTATTTGTTTTCTTCCAATTCTCCCCTGGTTCATGGCACAGTCCCGGGGTGAAGCAGCTCCTTGAATGGCCGTGACTGTCTTTGGACCAAGAGCAAAGTAACTGCTCGTGATGCAGCCTTCTGCAGGGCTGTCCAAATCTAGGTCAGCTCTTTGTGGTCAAAGAGCAGCGAGCGAACAGGAGATGAACCCGTGGTGCTTTGCCTAGACTGATACTAACACCCAGACTTTCTTGAGGTTCACTCGTGTGCACTCATGCTTTGTTGTGGCAGTACAGACTGATAACGAAAGGCACGCTGGCCTCTTCAGAACCACCTGCAGATCACAAGAATACAGAAGTAAGGCTGACTTTTGAACAGCCCAAACTCCAGCAACAGGACTGTATTTTACACCTGCAGCAAGCAATTTGCTATCTGAAAAATACCTGCCTGGATACCCAGAGCACAGCCCTACCAGGAGGGCCTCTCAAGAAGCCCTGATCAATCTGAAATGCAATAAAAGCTGAAGAAGGAAGCGGGAACACGGGGAAAGACACCCCATGGCAGCACAGGGAACTATTCCTGCAGGCTGCTGGGTTGCCTGTGGTCCCAGGGGACACGTAGGAGCTGCCTGCAGGGACCCAGGGCAGCACCACCACAGCTGCCCAGAAGCGATTTAGGAACACTCCCCAGGAACACAATCTGCAAATCATTTCAAAAGGACCGGATCGAAGCACGAGATCACCTTGCAGAGCAGAGCAGAAAGCACCGCGTTTCATCCCCTCCCTGCTGTGCCGAACCCAGTGACATGTGCTTGGCAGAAGCCCATCTTGCAGAAAGGCATCTTACCCTGATTGGAAAACGCTAACATATGGAGAGACTTTCACTTTCCTCAGTGATTTGTTCCAGCAGCTAATCAGCTTCATTCTGAAAAAATTAATGCCTATTTTCTCATTTCAATTTGTCTGGCTTCAGCTTGCAGCTGTGAGTCTGGGCCACATCTCTTCTCCCTCACTTTAACAGCTCTCGGATACCTGGCCTTTCTCCTAGGGGCGATATTTATATTCTGCTATACAATTTTCTTCAGATGAACACTGCAGTTTCTTAAGTTCCAGTCCTAGGCGCTGTTCTGGGGGTGTTTTCATTGTATTCCCCCGAGGATGTGCTGCTGCACAAACTGCCCTGCGCTCACCTACCAAAGGCAGGAGGCAGCTGTGTTACATCCCCTGCTCGGAGGCAATGCACTGCAGCCTGGCCAGGAAACACAACTGGGCACAAAGAGTGGAGTTTGGTGCAGAATGACGATGGCTGCAGCTTGCTGCAGATAAAGGCTGCTTGTGGTGAGCAGCACGTCTCCGCAGCCACCAGCTTTCATCGCAGCTGAGCTAAGGCTGAGTGCAACCACCCCGGTGCTGCTCTGCTCCCTCAACAGCCTTAAAACTCTTTCCCTCTGACCCACTCCTCATCTGCCCTCTATAACTCCTGGCTCGCTTCTCATCCGATTCCTGGCCACCTCCTCCTCCCTTTTCCCCTTCCTGTCATGCTGATCTTCTCTTAATAGAACCACTCACCTCCTGTAAAGCCTCAGAGTGGACGTGTGGCTGTTTCCCCACCCATCACTCTGTTCCTGATCCCAGTCTCCCTCTCTCAGGGACTCCCCAGCTCCCCTGTACCTGCCCAGGATCAGTGCATCATGTCGGGAACGTCACTAACAGCATTTATCCTGTTTTGTCGTGTTTACCTGTGCTGACCAGCCAGTGTGCTGGTAGCTAAGCCAAATATTAAATATTGAGGTTAGATGCCATAGGTTTCTGAGCAAAAACAAGCATGGAGAGGCAATCCTGGGCACACAGTGTCTGGAGAGTGTTTTTGTCTGGTTTAGCTCTTGGCTTCCCCAGGGCAGGAGCCACCTGCTTGGGGTTGTATTGTTCTGAGCAGGCTGGTGGTGTGCAACAACCAAATCACAAATAGATGATTTAAGTTAATTAATACAAATAAACTCTAATTACAAACACTAACCAATTAAAGCAGCACAGAGGGCATCTCCTCTGCTTTGGCGGGCAGATGACAGGGATGCTGTTGCAAGGCCTTAGGACTTGGTCCTGCCCCACTGCATCCCGGGGAGGTTTCCCACAAGGAGGCTGAAGCCGCCGCTACTCCTCTCGTCCTGATTAGGACAGCAGCAAATTAAGGAGGTTTTTCACCATCTCAGTGCCTTGAGAGCAATGCAGAGCTCACGGATGGCAGGCTGCAGCATGTGGTGGTTTTCTTAGTCAGTTCTTGCTAACCCCACAGCACAGCACGGGACAATTTGTTCTCTTCTGCGGCCACTTTGGCTTGGGGGAACTTTCTGCTGGCCCCCGCAAAGCCCTCAGCTGTGCCTGCAGCATGGGGGTTGCAAGGACCACTGCAGCTCCTGAGCCTGTAAACAAGTTTTATTCTTTTACATCAGCTTGAGTCACTCAGGGACAAGCTCTGGTCCCAGCCAGGATGTTCCTTTGTCCTTCCTTGTAGGGATGGCAGAAACGAAGGATCAAAGCACCGAAGGGATCAAAACATGAAAGCTAGACTATATGAAGCAATGGGGCTGGAGATCCACTCCTCTAGGATAATTAACTTTCCCAAGAACAGATAATATCCCCAAATTAAAGGACAACCTGGGACCAGTCCTGAGAGGCGCATCAAGGCGAAGACGAACGCCACTCCCATGGCGGGGATCTCATCAGGCTCCGGCGTAACCACATAACTACCGCCCTGGTCTCCAGACACCCACTCCTTCCTTCAGCTCTCATTAAGAAGGCAGAGAGATGAAAAGCCTCTCGCTCCTGGTGCCACTGTCACGCTGCTCACCCCCAGGCCCTTCCAGGAGAGCCCTTTCCCAGAGGAGGGCTGACTTTGCTGCTCTCCCAGGCTCCAGCAAGCCCGGCAGGGACCTGCCACCACCACCAGCACCCCGAGCACCCCTCGGGGCACCCTGGCCACGGGCCCTTTTAGGGAGGAGGGGGGGAAAAAAGGGTGAGCACAGCGGGGCCACCCCCGGGGCTCCCCCTTCCCTGAGAAGCGGGGGCGGCTCTCCGAGCCCCCCTCCCGCGGCTTTTGCTCCCCCTTTTTCTTCCTCCTCCTCCTCCTCCTCCTCCTCCTGCTGCTGCTGCTGCTGCTGCTGCTCCTCCTGCCGCCGCTGCCCGGCTCCGCTCCGCCTCGCCAGCCCCGAGCGGGTGCCCCGGCCCTGCCGCACCTCCCCGGCCTCCGCAGCCCCGGCCCGGCGGGCGGTGAGTGCTGAGCCCCCCCTGCAGGCCCGGGGGGAGCCGGGGGGATGCTCGGGGGCCTCGTCGTCGCCGGAGGGAATCGGGGGGCCGGGTGGGAAACGGGGGCTGAAGGGGCGCCGGGACCTTCACGTCGCCCCCACTTTGTCCCCTCCTGTCCCCTTCCTCCGGGGGGTGCAGGCTCGGGGCTTCGCCCCCCGGGGGTCGGGGTCCGGCTTGGGGAATGTCCTGGGTTGGGAGGCATGTTTGGGGTGGTCCTCGTGTGTGTGTGTCCCTTCCTTGGGTGATGGGGTCCTGCGGAGGGTATCCCCCTCCCCGCCCCGAGGTGCTGGGGGGAGCCCTAAAGGCACCACCCGGAGTGCGGGGCTGTCCTTGGAGCAGCCCCTCGGGCGTTTTAGGGCTGAGCTGGGTGCACCCCACCCGGCTGGGCTCCGGGAGTCCTCCCAGGGTGCTGGTGGAGCGGCTCCTGACACCCCCCCCAGCCGTTGCCCCCTGCCCCATTTGCAAAGCATCAGGGCTTGGGGGGCTCGGGTGTCCCAAGAGCAGGACCTGGGGGCTGCAGCGCTTCCCTCAGCCACCCCTCAGCCACCGACCTCCCGGCTGGCAGAGCTGCCCCCCGTTAGGGCACACCGAGACCTCGGGGCTGGGGTCTGCACACCACAGCCGGGCCACCTCTGGGGCTCCTTGGTGGAGGTACCACCTCGGTGCCCCTGTAAAAGGAGCATCCCCTGCCCTCCCAAAGCGCTCGGTTTCTTGGGGAAAAAAGCACGGCATTACAGTGCATTTATACTGCATGAAAAACCACTTTTATAACGCCTGTGCCGGAGGGAACATCTAACCAGAGCCGTACCTGTCTGGGCATTCATCTGTATGGGAACTCTGCAGCCTCTTCCCTGGCTAACACCGGGGTTGTCTTGCAGAAACCATTTAGTCTGTCTAGACAAGTATGATGAAGAGCAAAGTGCCCAGAGCAGTGAATGATTAGAGCCTGGCTCTCTCTGCAATGTTGGGTTTGTTGTACAGTGCTGATAGGTGGTGTGCTCTGCTTCTGGGTGCCTTTGGGTCTTTGGTTATCAAATGCACAAGAAGTAACCAGATGACCATGCAGGTTTGTTGTATGCAAGAGCAAGGAAAGAAGAATGTAGCCAGCTCTTCATCACATGTGTGCATGCGAAAAACATCATAGAAAGTTTAATGGGATTAAATGAACAGAGAAAATCACAGAGCACCAAAAATGAATAAATAGGTGATGGGGGGAAGGGTGTGTACTTTTGTCTTTCCTTCTGGAGGATAGCACAGATAAATTCATTAATATTTGTACGGCACTTAGAGATCCTTAAATAGAAAGTGCTAAAAAAAATGTAGCATTATGCATGAGCATAGAATAAATAAGATCCTTAGGATAGGAGACAAACTGTGGATAACGCATATCCTTAATACATATTCATGTGAAGTAGAGTGTACTGAAGAGAGCAGGCTTTAACATAAAACAAAATCAAGGGGAAAGCGGCTGTGTAAGCATTTGTAAATACTCTGCAAGCATCCATCTCCACCTTAGGTACTCGATGACCCTTACAAACCTAGTCTTTAATACTGCAAACCTTCCTGCATATGGGCTGTCCATCTGCCTTGCCCAACAGTCCAAGTAAATTCACGAGGAAGATTCAGGTGAGGACGAACTTCCAGGGCTGAGCCCTGCGGCAATAACACATCCATCACACTTACATGGCAGGTAGGCTCTCCTCCCAGTAAATGCACGTGTGAATCCCTAAAGGTTTCCACAGCTCCAGGAATGACTCATTTTCAGAGAGACCACACAAAGCATCTGTTTCAGAGTCACAAGCATATTCTAGAGACATGACACACAAATATTATTGGGAGTTGGCAGCACACGAGGCCAGAAGGTTTTTATCTAACTTCATGGGTGGGAACACACAGATCTGATTAAAAGTTTTGTGGCCATTGAATGCAAATGGAACAGAAGCTGCTGCAGTTCCTTGTGGGTACTAGTATGGGGCTGAGTCAGGCCCAGGGTGTATTTTCCCCGTGAGCAGAGACGGATCCTGAGAAGTGCTGAGCGTCCCGCAATCCCCCCAGCCCCCAGCAGTTATCCCTTTTCAGGTCCGAACCTGACAATACAGATTTGTTCTGACCTCGGGAACTGAGCTTACTCAGTATGCAACGCCTTGCTCCATGCAAGGGACTGCATTCCCTTCCTTGAGGAAGGAGCTGGAATACCAAGAACTTTTATTTGCACCAGGGTTACAAGCTCACACACCTCCGTGTCTTCTCTGTGTCCCGTCGCATCAGACTTTGTCACCCACTGAGTGTTCAAGAAAAATCTCTTTCTATTACATATCAGCAAACAAACTGATAAAATTGCTTTCAGGCTGTGATCTGTGTTATACAGGGGAAGGAGAGAGTGCTCCCGGAGTAGCAGTAGCAGATACCAATTGCAAATCTCAAGAAAAGAGCTATTAAGCAACTAGGGCATGTGTTGATAATTAGCTAACGCTTGTTCTGCTTGCTCTGGGCTTTACACTGCTGTTGACTGGCTATGAATTTTCTGCACTACCACTGCTTGTTTACAGTACAGCACCTAACTTAAGCAATTAATCAGTTTTAACAGACTCTGCTAATGTCCCTCTGACATCCGAAGAGCCCAGTTAAATGAGTCTGTCTCTAAATACTATCCAAGAGCCGAGGGGAAGGAAACAGGACAAGCACAGCCTGCAGAGATAGAAATGTCTTACACTTACATTTATTAGAAAATAAATGACATTAGAATGACCAATTTTTATCCATATATAACATATATATTTCTTTTTATAAACAAATAAATATAAAATACAATCTTTACAATGTTAGGATGAAATTTCTTAAAATAGCCCAAAAATCCATTTGGTACTGGAGGCCCTTTTCTGGACTATGTAACACAGACTCTCCACACACAAGTCCATATCTACTTTGTTGGACTATCCCACACTGTATGGTGCTGCCTTGGCTTTTGAGAATTACAGTGTTGGTGTCAGCCCCATGCTTATCTATCCAAGAAAGTAATGCCAATATAATAGAGAATAAATGACATATATGTGGATAACAAAAGGAATAATTCATAGGTAATTTTCAATTACAGAGAATAATTTATAGGTGCCTGATTTGTAAAGGGAATAATTTATGAGTAACCTGAATTGCACATAAAAAGTATTTACAGGTTAGTGTAACAAAGGGAATATATCGGCTGCACAGCTGTGTTAAGACTGGATTTGTGAGGCATTTCTTGTGCAAACACCCACCATTAAAAAACTCTCCATGTTCCACAGTGAAAGGATTTGGGGGATATTCCCATCTGACCTGAAACCTCCCCAAGTTACCAAAAGCCACGTGTACTGGTGAGCTGATGGGACTAGGGCTAGCCAGCCTCCAGATGCAGAATTATCACTCTTGCACCAAGGCTGGCGTGGTGCAGCACAGCACCTGTGTGTGCTGTCTGTGTGGTCCCAAAGAGCCTGGTTTAGTTTAGGATTCCTGGCAGAGGTTGGCTCCTTCTTGCCCTGTTAGGGACCCTGCAGGGTGCCAACAGGGCGTAGTCTCATGTTTCCTGCTACGTAGACGTGCATTGCTCCTCCCTGTGACCCAATAATGGGGTGCTCCTAATTGTGGAAAAAATGTAACAGTGGCAAACGGCTGCAAGTAGGAATAATAAAATTCAGATTGGAAGTAGGATTTTTTTTTTTTCTGATGGTAAAAGTAGAGAATGATAGAGTGGACACAGTGTGTGCCTCCACTTGCAGCAGATCTTTAAATTGTTATAATTTTGCTTAAAGGATTTCTTCAAGTGCAACTACAAGTTAATGGCCTTTTAAATAACAAGAATTGCTTTCTCCTCCTCAGGACTTGCTAATCAAGTCCTAGGGCTTGTCATTGGCTAAGAGGTCAAATTAGTTGCTTTTTGCTTTGAAGATGTAATGTCTTCTTCCTCCATACCTGAAGTGAACATAGATGTGTTGGTACTTCCACTCCTTCACCAACACCTTAACATCCTAAAAACCAACAAGAAAAAAAAGCCCACCTAAGCTAAAATGCCATTGCCCCCTGAAGCACTGCATCAAGGGGTAATACAAGGCATCCTTGACACAAGAGATGAAAATTGTAAAGCCCTTTTACACTACTTCAGTTAATGAAACAGTATATCCGAGTATTTGTGCTTGATGTAATACAATCTACTACAGTTAATGTTGTAAACCAGTTTATTTTCTTTCAAGCTGCTAAAGATATCCATAATTTTTTTCCGAAGTGCTGATTTTTTTTTCCCAGTGAAGTATTTTCAAAAACCTTGTTAAAGAGAAGTAATGGTGTCAGATGTGGCCAATACAATGTGTTGCCGCTGTTCTGTTGGGAGCAAAAGCAGAGTGCCCAGAGGCAGGAGGCACACGCTGCTCCAGACTGTACATTGCAAGAGAATTCCTGCCCTTCAGCTTTCAAACCATCAAAGCATAATCACGGACATCCTTAGGCATGTTGGATGCTCACAAAATGCCCATGATCATAGCTGGGAGTGTCTGATGCAAGCTGAATATCCCCATTTAGGAAGCCTTGGGAAACAACGTATGCCCCATATCTTTGGGCACACACTATATTTCATGAGAGAGCCGGAGGGAACACATGCTAAAAGACTGTGTGCTCATTGTATTCGTTGTTGCATACATTCACTCTTTGCTACTTCCCATTTAGAAAAGAAAAGAAGAAAAAAATTCCCTTCATTCTCTAACCAACTCCTCCCCCCGCATACCCACTTGCTCACCAGGAAGAGCTGATGAAAGCAGCTCCTGCTTCTCAGTGATCTTTGACAAGGCCACTTGCAACCTGGACCAAGCACAAAGCCTCTGTTTGATTTCCTTCAGAGCAACAGGCTCCCAAGTGGCTCACACATCCTCAGTGATTTTAACATTGTGAATAGTTTCCTAGTGTAAGTTCTGCATATGACCAGAAAAAATGATGCCAGTATTTAAAGCTTGCACAGAACAAGTGAAATCTTGGCACTACTAAAGCCCCAGGCAAAACTTATGATGACTTTCTGGGGTTAGAATCTCCCTTCACACTCTCAAATTTGGAAGCAAATCAGAAGCGTAGAGATATTGGTGACAAAGCACAAAACAACCTCATGTGTACTCTTGTTGCTACTAGTAAAAATCCAGCAGAAGCAACATGGACATGGGGGGCAATAAGAAGAGGTTGCTGAGAAAGCATCGCAGACTTTATTTCTAAACTTCCCTTGGATTAGGGCCCCTGTACTATTTCAAATCCCACTGTGCTGTCTGCCGTCAGGCTTTAATGCTAGCAAAACACAAAGCTTGCAAAAATAAAAGCAAACTGCTTACCTGCGCCATCGCCTGTGCGATACACCCTTAGCTCCAAAAGAGATCTTACAAAAAGAATCTTTTCTAAGGACAGCTTATACATACAAATATCTTCCCAAGGGTTAGATGTAAAGGAATTCAATATTAATTTTAATGGTTTGCCACTTTCCTCTTACAGTGAAATGACCAGAGCCGTCTCTACATAATTGAGGAAAGAATTTGGCTCGTGTTGGTGCTCTTCGTTAAATATTGAATTCACTGTTGTGTTGCTGTCCTCAGGGGCCACTGACTGGCACTTACCTGACAGAGCTGGGCTGTAGAGCTACTTAAATTACAGACTTAACCAGTTCCTTGTAAAAATATTTCACCTTCTTTTTTCATCTCTCCTGTGATTGCATAATGCTGTTACAACACTGATGGTCAGCAGCTGATACATGGGCTTATCCACAGAAAGCTCACCTGGTTTCTTCTAAACTAGTATTAACTTGCCTAATAGAAGATAATATTTATTCCTAGAAACTCTGTGCTTTTGTGCATATACACCTGTATATTTTCATTCTGCTCTACACAGGTGGAGCTCTTACCTGTGGCAGGGAGCTTTGCCCAAAGCACTGCTGCAAAATACTTGAGTTCTACATGGCGCACACACACACATTTTCAGTAAAATCAAGATGTAGAACAGCCATAGGGTTAGCATATTGGTTCCTCTTTTTATTTCCATTGAGATGCCCACTGGGATTTCCATTGGTGCCTCAATTGCAATGGGAAATAGGTGCCTGACTCCTGCTGCTGGCCTTAGAAAAGACCATGGAGAGGATATTTCCCAGATGCTATGATTGGATTTCCTTCTGCTGTAGGCTTTCATTTGCTCTTTATTTACCACTTCAACATCGTTGCCTTGTTTAGCATTCTTGATGTCACACATCTGACATGAGCTGTTCGTGAGGTTACACAATGGCAGGGGGCCCACACAGATCTCACTAGAGGCAGAGCAGCTGCACAAGGCTCACGCAGCACATCCCACCTGTGGATCAGGCTGGGCAAAATTCCTTAGGCAGGTGCCCTGGGTCAGTGCCTAGGAGCCAGGATTGAAAGTTGTTAGAGGAAATTGTCAACAGGAACAGCTGCTAGTACTGGTGCCTGGTAAATCAGGAGTTCAGGCTTCTGATAGATTAAAAAAAGACCAAGACCTACCTCTTCTCTTTTCCTACTGTGGCATTTGAGAGCCCTAAGCAAAGAGGAGCACCACCTTTCAACAACAAGGGCTAGCACAGCCAGATGCACACCACAGATATTTACCACGTTATCGGGACTTTGGGATGGAGCACCAAAAAATAAAAAAAATCAAACCACCTGATTTAATCCAGACATGTGGTAGCAATAACAGGGCTATGCATTCTTGAGCACCATCTACTGGTACGCTGTCCATAAACCAGAGGAACGCAGATGTAGAGCACCCTGCCACAGCTGCGCTCACGTAAACGCACAGGGCTCCTGGCCAGCACTGAGCATTTACGAGCTCCCAGCCAAGCCTTACAGCTGGGAGCCTGGGGCACACGGCTCCAAGAGCAAAGCTGGAGGAGGCTCGCAGGTCCCTGGTGCTGATGGTTGCCTCTGCTCCTGCAGGCAGTGCTGCAGCCTGCGGGCCTCTCCGCAATGCTGCAGTGCAAACATGCTCAGGAATTCAGCTTTGGGCCCCGGGCTCTGAAGGATGCGCTGATTTCGACCAACCCAGCCCTGCAGGAGCTCTATGCCAAAGCGTTCTCCAGGGCGGAGAAGCTGTTCCTCTCCGAAGCCTACAACCCGCAGAGAACACTCTTCTGCACACTGCTCATCCGGACGGCTTTCGACTGGCTCCTCAGCCACCCCGATGCCCCTGAGGACTTTGAAACCTTCTATCACGCCATGCTGCAGAGGAAGCAGAGCTTCTGTCGGAAGCACATTTACCTGCAGCCTATAGGTAATGTGGGCATCCCCTGGTAAAGCATGGGAGGGAGGTGGTGCCAAACGCTACTAACCCATCAGCCTCTTCCAAGGACTAACCAAGGATGGGAAGTTCAGTCGGTAGTACCAAAGGCTCTGCCATACCCTGAGTCCAGAGTCACAAGTCGTGATGACTCCCATCAGTATGGCTCCCTGGTAAATAGCACAGAATCATAAAATCATTAGGGTTGGAAAAGCCCTCCAAGATCATCTGATCCAACCATCCCCCTGCCACCAATGTCACCCACTAACCCATGTCCCTAATCACCAGGCCCAACCTTTACTTGAACACCCCCAGGGATGGTGACTCCACCACCTCCCTGGGCATCCCATCCCAATGCCTTTCTGAGAAGAAATGTCTCCTCGTTTCCAACCTGAACCTCCCCTAGTTGTAGAGAGCAGTAAGGTCTCCCCTGAAAGACTACATAACCCCAGTTCCCTCAGCTGCTCCTCAAAGGACTTGTGTTCCAGGCCCTTCACCAGCTTCGTAGCTCTCCTCTGGACACGGCACCACGTGTGCCCTTGGGTGAGACTTGCTGGAACTATATGTATGCACAAATACGCATATATATAAGACAACGCCGGATAAAACAGCATTTCTGGAACTCCATCCCTGCCAGTTAATAAAAAACAAACAGCTCCCTGTCCCCAGGCTAATCCTTCTGGGCTGCTTATCTCAGAGATCACCTTCTGAGCACATCTGCTTTGCTGTGATAGACACCACCAGGTCTCAGGGTGACCTCTGAAAGAGCCCCCATCTCCTCCATACCTGGCCAGCCACTTGGAGGTAACTGCCACATCCCAGAGTAAGCAATTACCTTCACAACGAGCCTGCCTTGTGCCCAGTTGCTGCGGCCAGCCCCACAAAACCCTGTCAGAGCACTGACACCATGGCTTCTCTTCTCAGACCTGATCGAAGGGCCCGCCGGGCTGTCGCTGCTGGATTCCCTGCAGAGCTGCGTTGAGTCCTTCTTCCTGGGGCTCCGTGTCAAGTGCCTTCCCTCCATTCCCATCTCTTCCATCCACTGCTGCTACCGCCACAGCCAGGACTCGGACAGGGTGCAGCTTCACGCAGGTAAGGACCTGGCACCGTCCTGGCACCAGCCTGGCGTGCTGGCACCATGCAAAATAGGAAATGCCTGCGATATCCCTTCATTGCCTGCGCAGGGAGGGGACGAGGAAGGGAGTGAAAAGGGAGAAATCCTGTTCCCGTGGAAAAGCCAGAACTCTGAGGCTGGAAAAAGGAATAAAAAACAAAGTGACTTTCATCACATTTTCCTCTGCTGTTTGTGTTTTTCAGCACTGTTTCGTTTAGATCCCACTCGGATCAGCTCTGGGGGAAGGCACTGTAGATCTCATGCGGGCTGAGTTCTTCCACCTCCTGTCCAGAGCCAAAGTAAATCCGTGGCCTGGGTGGTGCAGGTGGGGAATTCAGCAGCCTTTCATGTTCGGAAATTGGGGTTCAAGTGTCACACAGCTCCCCAGGGCAATGGGTCCACCAGCTGCCAAACTGGAGCTGCACAAACACCCATCTGGAGCAAGCTGCTCGCAGGTAGCAGGGGCAGCATGTGCCTGTCCTGGCCCCCATGCCATGGCCATGGGGCTGCTCCAGCACAGGTCTGAAACACCCCTGGGGGGTTTTGGTAGTTCTGTGCTCATTTCCATGGGGTGGTGCTGAATTCATCTGCACCTCTGCCCTGGGGTCTGCTTAACCTTAACGCTGTGCTCAGCACCACTTGAAAAGTCAGGTCTGCTTGTGCTCTGATTTGAGAGGACGGGCTGCACAGCTGCGATTCTCCGTCCAAGACACTGGGTCCAGCAGCTCTGCCTCACTGCAGCTTGGATTACGTGCTCCTTCCCGTTAGCAGGAGGAATTCTGGCTCTTGCGTGCCTTCCAAGGATGCTTTGTTTTAATGACCATCTCTCTTGTGTTTGTCCAGATGGGATCCTGAACTTCCTGAAGAACAACAAGCCCATGGATGCTCTGTGTGTCCTTGGACTCACTCTCTTGGACCTTTACCCATGTGAGACCTGGAGCTTCACCTTCAGCAAATTCCTGCCAGGACAAGGTGGGATTGGTGTCCAATGATCTCCTAGTACAGGGCGTGAATAAGGCAGCACTGTACCAAAAAGCCTTCCCTGGGAGAATAACCTGGGACCAGAATAACCAAATCTTATCCTTATTTTTTGTTTCCACTCCTTGATGAGAGGAGCTGGTTTTTCCCAATTTAAAACTGGGATCTCAGGGCTCCTGATCCAGGGCTGCTATTTCAGGCAAAGGTAACCGAGGCACTGCAGACCTTGGAAGCGTGGCTCACCACACTGCTAAACTGGACTGCGCTATCACAGCTTTCTTCTCATGCTGCCTAAGCTGAGAGACAGTCACAAGCTTACATGCGCCTCTCTTTACAGAAGTGGGAGTCTGCAGCTTTGCCAGATTTTCCGGGGATTTCCCCCACGGTAGCTGTAGCAGCTTGAACCCGCTGGTGCAGAAGGAACGGTTAGGCCAAGTCAGCAAGGAAAGCAGAGACCGGACCGTGCCGTTCAGTGCCCAGGAGATGGTCCAGTGCTGTAAGGTAGGACTGGCACATTCCTGCACCCCGTATTTCTTGCAGTGCGGGGTTTAATACTTCAGACCTGGGCATAATCCATCTGTCAACCCATTGAAGCCTGAGATTCTGCTCCTGTACCGGTCCATGCATTTACACAGTGCTAAGCAGTCTGTATCTCAGTGCACTGCACGGATCTCCCTTACTCCCCTTGCCACTGGAGCAAACTGCAGCATCGGCTGCATGGAGAGGTGACAGGACTTACAGCACAGCAGCACTGGGACAACTGCCCAGCTCCCAGCCTCCTGCTTGGGACATCTGAGTCAGATGTGCAGGCAGTAGGACCTGTTAGCTGATGAAGTATTTGGAGATTAATTTGGATAGCTAATGGTGTTCCGTGTCAGCTAGTGGTTAGCTGGGCAGGTGCATCTTCCTCAGACACAGGCAACCATCAGGGAAGAGGACCGAGCACTAACACTTGTCCAACCTGCTTAAGTGGACAGATGAGAAAAAAGTATTAGACAAGTTTGCATGTATATTTATATGCCTTAAGTCCCATTCGTCTCCAGCACATCATCTTCATGAGTGCTCTCACCCCTCACCCTGTGCCCAGTGCTGCTGCTAGCATTTCTTGCAGTGCTGGCCCACACCAAGCACCTGCACCAACACCTTCAGTGCCATTTCTCTCTGCCTCGCCTTGTGTTTGCTCAGGATGTTCTAATCTGGGGTCTCTTCTTGTAGAATTTCAAAGGGAATGAGGTGGCAATGGGAGGAGGAGAACCTTCCATCCTCGGCCATCCTGCAGCTGCCAGTTCCCCAGGCAGTCATGCTTGGCCAGCTGACTCCAGCTTAACTTTTGCTTTGGCACAGACATTGTGCTTTGAAAGGACCCAGATCTGTTATTGCCAATAATTTCGTACAGGTTTCTCACATGGACTGTGCTGCTCTTTTCCGACCCCACTGGGACTGATTTTCTCCTTTAAAAAACAAAACAAACCAACCAACCAACCAACCAAATACCAAACACTTTGCTCTTGGAGGAGAAAGCTCCAGCAGCACTGCTGCAGAGCTCTGAAACACTACCTATGGGGTCTTCCAAAACATACATCCCCCCTCCTCCACTTCCCCAAATCAGGATGCTGGGTACCTGGGAAGCAGGGAGCTGTGTTCCCCTTGGAAAAGCCAAGGCTGGAGGATGGCCACGCCGAGCTGGTTAGACTGCCAGAGCGGTGATGGGAGAGGAAGGGACAAGGAAGCAGGAATAACCGCTTGCTGCTCTGATTTTTGCCTTCCTGCCAGGTGACTTGCCACGAGATCTGCCACCTGATGGGCCTGGGGACGTGCCGCTGGCTGCAGTGCATCATGCAGGGTGCGCTGAGCCTGGACGAGGCCCTGCTGCGGCCGCTGGAGCCCTGCCCCATCTGCCTGCGCAAGCTGCAGTACGTCGTGGGCTTCAAGCTGGTCGAGCGCTATAGGGTGAGTGATAGAGCCCCCAGCCCTTCCCGGAGCAGCTGCCGCGCTGCTGACCCCAAACCATGGTGCTAAATGCACTACAGCAGCATGTTAAATGCAGACGCTGCTCTCAGGGCACGTTTCAGAGCCCACAGATCTGCTAACACCACATACGGACGCCACCACGAGCAGTGCTATCACTCCCATAGCTCTCGAAGGGGTTTTCTGCCTCTGTTGTCTAAAAAGCTGGATTCGGCAGCCAAACAGCTAGTGGAATATAAATAATCTCCCCATTCTCATTCCGTACCCTATCTTCTTGCTTATTATTCCTGTCTGACAAGCATCATGTTCAGAGACAGGATTTTCCACGGCTGCCTGTTTTAAAGTCTGTGGGTTATATTTGTAACGAGATGCGTGCAGAATGAGAACGGGGACGCCTCTAGTTTCATTCAGCTCACAATCAGATGCACAGAAGCATGTCAAAGCATGCGGGGGAAAATACGCTTGCGTGGTTTTGCTGCTCGCCTGTGTGTCTGTGCAGTGTTAGACCCGTCTGGTGCTTGCTTCTGCCTGAGAGCTGCCCAGATCGCCCAGAACACCAGGGGAACGTGCTCTGGTTTATTTAAATGCCTGGCCTGTCACCATCCAGCTATTGCTTTCTAGAAGAGAACTGCTGTCTGCATTAAGCCCTTCTAGAAATGCTTTTCCTTTACACCTGCGGTAAATACTGTAATTGGCTCAACATCCCCTGGCAGCAGCAGACACAAAGCTGAAGAAAGGCCTCACTTGCCAACTATCACATCTGCTTCCCTGAGAGTGGAAGCTCAGCGAGATATAGTACACGCCTGTAGGAGACACTTGTGATAAGCTCTGCGAGAGGCTTTGCTGCTGCCTTGAGAGAGGAGATAGGAACGTCAGAGATGAAGCCAGGAGTTAAGCAACTCTCTGCGAAGAGAGCACAGAGCACTTGAAGACAATATCAGATCAGATGACAGTTACTTGCAAAGAATATTTTGGGAGGTCGTGGCCAGCCAAGTACAAGGCTGAAGTCACATCTCCCTCTGGAGCACGAGCAAGAATCCCCACCTGCCGCAGAGCAGCCCCAGACGTTCCCAATAAATACAGGAAATGCCAGACACGAAGCCGTTCCTCTCCAGGAGCAGGTAGTGCTGCGAACGTCTGTGACTGAGACAAGATTACAGGCAGAAGAGCACGTGGGACAGGAAACCAGTCCTTATGTAGGAGGATGAGCCCTTCAATTTATTTATCTGAGCTGCACTCAGAAACATACTCCATTTTGTCATCGCAGCTGCTCATTCCGCGATGAATTGTCTTGAAAATTGAAAGCAACCCAATTCTCACTGCGCTTCCCCAGCACAACCAACATTTCCACCTGCTGCTTCTGCAGCCTCCTGGGCCGTTCTGCACGTAGGGCCTGTACCAGAATGCAGTGATTGCAACGGCCACACTTAAAAACAAACCAAAACACAACTCACCAGTGCTCGAGCTGCCCTTAAAGCCTGGCTTAGCAGCACAGGACAGCTGTATCCTCACCCTGGTGTTAACCACAGTTTCTGCAGCCTTTGCAAGTTCACTAGTTAGGGTACAAATACTGGTTTAGCAAAGCTAAATCATGAATATTTGAGGACTGGAGCTTGGCTAAGGGCAAGGATAATATTTTAAGTCTAGCTAACGCTGCAGAGACCCGCACCCTAGAGTACTGTTGTTTATTCTCCACGGGCTGCATTAGCATGGCTTCGATCTGCTCCCAGATGCAGTGTGACCGTCCTGTGGACAGGGCACGGTGGCCCTGACATGGCACAGGGGCTTAAAAAATTTCCACTGCCTCCCCACTGGAGTCCCCTGAAGTGTCAGATCACAGATTTCAGTCCTAGTGACTCCACGTGCTCTTGCCTGCAGGTAAACTAAGACTGTAAAGAAGGTGCCCCATTCCAGTTATATCTGTGAACACTAAAAAAAAAAAAAAGAAAAAGGAAAAAAAAAAAAAGGCTGCAGCCCTACAAACCCTTCACATCTGTGAGGCAATAAACCACCCAAGAGCGAGAAACAGGAAAGATTTCTGGGTTTTGGTAGTGATCTCGAGTCAATTATTCCTTCCATTAATAATAATCCAGATGTTCTCTGTGAACATCCTTGTCTCAGCAGTTTCTTTTCCTCTTCTGGGGAATTGTGCTAAGTAGCAGTTGTGATTCTTTCCCAGATTCTCAGTCTTGGGAGCTGAAAAGAGACACAGAATCATGGGCTGTTGGCAGCTTCCAAACAGCCCCACTGTCCCCTTCCCCAGTCTGGCTCCTGCTGCAGCTTCTGGTGCATTCTTTGTTTTTTAAGCCCAGAGGGATGGAGGGGCTGCTGGAGGTGGGATGAGGCAGGAGAAAAGTTGTCCCTTTGCATTTTGACTTGCCCCAGAGGGAGGGGGCAGGGCAGACTAACTTAGCTGAAAGGGTCCATTTTACTCTTGTATGAAATTCTTCCCTGAGGCTCCATGCACAGACTGAAGCGAGAAGCAGGGCCGATTTCTCCCACCCACTCAATTTGAGCTCTTTATCTTTTCTGTCACTTGCCTGAAGAGAGAGCAATAGAGGAGGAGAGGGGGAAGGGAGAGGGGCAATGCTCCTACAGACGACAGCTCTGTAACACTGCAAATTTCATGCCCACTTCTCAAACATGACAGCACTGGGCTTACTGCTGTGTGCATGGACCCAGCACAGTGACCAGCGCACTGGGGCCACAAGCCAAGTTAAAGCCCTGTGCCTGCCACCCCTGCCTTTTCCAAGGCAAGTGCAGGGTTTTGCAAATGTACCAGCTGGGAGCTGCAGAGAGGAAGGCTGAGGAAATAGGCCACGAGGGTGTGAAAAAGCTGAAAAACAAACAAAAAATGCCAACAAGGCAGACAGGGAGATCACCTTTTATCCAGTGATGACTGGAGTGGTGATTCATCCCCCCAGAGCACAGGGAATAAATGTGCCAGAAGCAACCCGCTATATGCCACATTGTAGCGTTTAATATTTAAAAAGGAAATTGTCTCAGACATTTTCCTTTCATTAATTCTTTCCTGGAGCCCGGCCTTCCAACTTGTGCGCTTCAGCTCGAGAGGCGAGGAGCTATTCTTGGGAATACAACACACATTGCCACCGGAGCCAACCACACCATGAAACAAAATTCTTCCCCGCTATCTCAGGAGCTTTTGTGGTGACACAGCTTCCTCTAGGAAGGCGCTGGTTTGGCTCTAGTGGAAATCATGTGCAGAAATGGGGGAGAGAATTTGTGCCATTTTTCTCAAGTGTCTTCAATAACGTGGCAGATTCAGCCCGCATCTGATGGGGCCGGCTCTGCCACAGCCACTGACTCCAGGAAGACAAGAACAGCTAGGTTTCCCCAAAAACATTAGGTAAGGCTTACCTGTTTTCTCTCGTTCTCTAAAATGCTGCCTTTTCCCTTCTCATCACAGAAGCTCTACGCCTGGACGCAGACCGTGCTGTCCACGTGGCCGAGGCAAGAGTCGGCGGACCTGTCAGCCTCGGAGGACGTCCCTGCGGTCAGCTCGGACTCCGGGATGTGCTGTGAGAACGACTCGGAGGCGGTGACCTCCTTGTCGGAGCCGCTCACGCCGGACACGTGTAGCCAGGCCCTGTCCATCGGCCAGGAGCTGGAGCAGGACGAGCAGTCGGGCTCACTGGCCGAGGCACACAGCCAGCCCCAGATCGCCGGGCCGACCAAGGCCACAGATATCGTTAAGGATTACGAGCTGTGGCTGGAGACCTGCATCGCTGCCCTGGAGAGGAACGTCTCCGAGGAGGAGCTGGCTCAGGTGGACAAGGCCGTGGATGCACTGGCCAAGTGGGAGATGTTCACGGGACAGCTGCCCGTGATGAAGAAGGACCTGCCCTTTGCTAGGGACAACACCGGGCTGCGGAAAGTTCTCGGAGACAAATTTTCCTCCTTGCGGAGGAAACTGAGTTCCAGAAAACTGTCCAAAGGGGAATCGTCCCCTCATCGCTGGCGGTGGGAGGAGAACTAGCGAGGGTCTGCCTTGGGATGGGCCAGCTCTGCTCCCAGGGCTTTGGTTGCATTACTGTCCTGCTCCTGAGCTGTCTCACCACGAGTTGTTGCTGTCAGAGAGAAACAGGAACTCCCCCCAGGAATAAAAGGTGTTTCTTTTTTTCTGAGATTGCTAACATCATTTTGACATGATCAGTTCTTTGGTAAGGGTTTTTCCTGTGCTGGTCTAAGCTCTAGCACGACTCTAAATTCCTGTCAAGTCCTATGTAGGCACTTCATTTTCATGCTGTATTTCATTTGGTCTGAAGTCAGCTGGGAAGAGGTCTATGCTAAACACTAAACACATTCACACAGAAGCTCGGGCCATCTGAACAAACAGATGCAAATTAACCAGGGCAGCTCTCTTCCCATACACAGAGCTCTCCTACTTAGCATTTCTGTCTGACGCAGGGCTATTATTCCTCCCTCTCCCCCCCCCCGCCAGACCTTCATCTCTATTCCGTTCACTGCCCCATCGGCTGGAGGCTGAGCCCAGCGCGGGAGCACAAACGAGGCCGACAGACCACGGCTGTGGGTGGGGGGGAGAGATGGAGGCGGAGGGACATGGAGGCGGTGAGCGAAGCAGAAAGCTGCCAAGCAGCTCATATCCCCTAAAGAACAGCGTTTGTGTGACGGCTGTCTTTTGGCGGACACTCCGGGGGATCTCCAAGGCTGCTTCACTTCAAAGCCAGGCTTGGAACTGTAAGCTAGAACTACTCACATCCTCTGCAGATTGGCACTGGAGGGAAAACCTTTGGGAAAAAAAAAAAGAAACAACACAGAACAAGAAGCAAGCATTCTCACACACATTGATTATTAACCTAAAAGGGGGAAGTACACACGGATTCCTCTCCCTGCCTTAAGAAGGCAAAACCCCATTCCTTTCGCTCTTCTCTGCTCCATAAGTCACCCACTGAAGGGGAACGGGAGCTGTGCTGGCCCCAGGAGCTGCCTTCCCCTGCTGGGGGCACGCTGTGTCCCTCCAGCTATTTATAGATGGAGCTCAAGAGGCTGATGGCTTTCAAGCCCTGTAATAGCAGCACAGGGAAGGCTGGCCCTCTCCTCCCACAGCTCGCTCAGGCCGCAGCACTGATAACGCTCCCTACAGCTCGCAGGGCCATGGCCACACTCAGATTTCCCCCACCTAAAAATATCTTTGAATTAACAACTGCAAAGGACAGGAAAGCAGGTAGGTCCAGTTCAGCTGGGGGGTGAGACAGGCTATTTCCCTCAGCAGAGCTAATAATTAGGGCTTTCCACAGTGCTTGCCCTGTGCACTTTGAAGGCAAGAGGACCCAAAACCCTGCAATGCAGTTTTGGGGTAGGTAGGGCGAGAATCAGAGGAAGGCGTCCAAGAAAAGCTCGAGATTTACTCGTGGAAGTACAAAAGATTTTGCGTGAATTCAGCCGAATGCAGGACACACAAGCAACTCCACTTGAGCACGATTCAGGCAGGGAGAAAAAGGGAATTTGACTTCAGGAATGGCGATGGCAGCTCCTGGCAGCTCCTTTTCCAGGCTGTGCACCCTGGCTCAGTGCAGCGGGGCCGCTGCTGCCGCCCTCTCCTGGTGCCTCCGAGGGGCTCTCGGCCACGGCATCCTGCCCTGCAGCAGAAATTCCCCGAGCAAATCCTACCGGAATTACAAACCCGCGTACCGCCCCACGCTTGCTCATGCGTTGCTGTAACAGATTTACTATTTTAAGCAAGAGATTACTTTTTTGTTTGCTCTTACTTGATTCCGTTGTGAATCACGAGGCTGAACTTTCAAAACTTTCCCCAAAGACACCATAAACTCAGGATGACAATACGGCCCGAGGGAGAGAGACAGACGGCTTTATGTCATAAAGTCCAAAGGCAACAGAGCAGGGGAGGCACAAACCCAACCTGCACTGCTGCAGAAGTCACAGATGGGAAACTCCCTGTGTGACACTCGCTTGGTACATGTAGACCTGTGTTAGCTCTGCTGTGAGAGCATCAATGCCCGCTGTAGAGCTGTCACTTACCACTAACAGATATTTTTCATACTGCCAGTGACAGAACCACCGCTTATCAGCTCAGTGTGTCCCAAAGAAAGAAGTAAATGAGCAGGGCCATTCACCTACCTGCGTGGCAGCTCAGCGGGGCCTGCAGGCCGGGCGCAGCCTTGCGGTGCCAGGCAGAAAGAAAATGGCTGTTACACGTCCAAGTCCTTTGGCAGGTGGAGGCGAGGAAGGGGTCTGAGTGCTGCTGGCCCCTGGGAATACGAAGGTTGTGGTGCCCAGGTCAGGCTCCCAACACCAGCACACGGAGCTGTAGCAACTGTCCAGAGCCAGCAGTACTCAAGCACAGGGAGAGAAACACAGGGGAGTAATAATACTTCACCCTTGCGTTACAAAGCCTACACCAGTGTGAGCAAGGACCCTCTCCTTTCTCCCCCGTGGGCAGCCAGGTTTGCAGAGAGGAATGTGACTGGCCAGGGCCACACAGAAAAACAAAGGTGGTAACCAGGACTAAAGCACAAAGGGGCTGTTCCTATCCTTACCTGCAGGTACTGGTGTTGTAGCGGGGCAGAAAACAGCTGACAGAAGAAAAAAATATATCAAAGGTAAGCTCCTAAATAAGATACCCTGCATTTTAAGCAGCAGCCATACTATCAAATAAAGCAGGTTTCTGAGGAGATCTTTCTACACAGAGAAGTGTGGGAACAGCAACATAACTTGCAGCTAATAAACTGCTGACTTGTGGGCCAGGAAGAGTTTCACCACAGGGTAGGAGGTGGGCAGGAGAACCTAGGTGTAACATTAAGCAGCCCCTCAGTTCGTTGAGCCTCCTGCAGGAAGATGAGCAACAAAAGGAGCAGGGCACCAGGACAAGGATGAAGGCAGGTCACTGGGAAGAGAAGGATCAGCAGCAGCCTCCCTCACAGCCCCAGCAAGGCAGCGCCTTCAGCCCCTGCCTCCTGACAGGGCATCTTGCTGCCCTGACAGGATGATCTAGAAATGAACCCTGCACGTTACCTCGCTGCTGCCTTCAGGAGATGCTCAACTTATTTTGAAGCAACTTCTGAGGTCCATAATCCCTGACAGCGTAGAAAGCACAGCCTTTTAATAGCTTTACGAGCTCATAAAGACAAAGATCTTTTTTCAAGAATAAATTGGCAAAACATTCTGTTCTTACTCTTAAGAAGTTGCTGTAACTGAAGGCAGCAGGGACACAACACATCTACCATGGGGTGAAAGAAAACCTTTTTTCTCCTAGTTACAGGTAAAATTGCTTGTAACTGATTGCAAAGGTGGGAGAGAAGCCAGTGCCTTCCGCAGATGTTTCATCAGCAATACCCAGCCCTTTGTGATTTAGCAGCAGATGTGACCACCTCCCTCTCCTAATAATGGTGCTTTTAGCTGAAGTTCATTTCTGCTGTGCAAAATTAAGGCTTTAAAGCTACTTGTAAAAATCTCTGAATACTCTAACAACTTCTTCCCTTAACACCATGCGGCTTCACAAGATGCCAGTCAGTCTTAAGGAAAATGGGAAGAAATGTGGTAATTTTTGTTAGTAACTGTATAAAAACTTCTTCCCAATCCTACAGAATAGTCAGATACAAGACATGAGCTGGAAACCACAGGGATTTACTTTATTTCCTCAGTCTCTCCTTCAAGAAACTGTAATGAATACTAAGTACATAAGGGGGCCTACAGGAAAAATGAAGGGCTTTTACTGGGGAGTCGAGTGATAAGACGGGAGGTAATGGTTTTAAGCTAAAGGAGCGTAGATGTAGTTTAGATATGCAGAAGAAATACTTTACTGTGAGGGTGGTGAGGCACTGGCACAGGCTGCCCAGAGAAATTGTGGCTGCCCCATCCCTGGAAGTGCTCAAGGCCAGGCTGGATGGGGCTTTGGGCAACCTGGGCTGGCGGTAGGCATCCCTGCCCATGGCAGGGGGGCGGAATTAGAGGATCCTTCAGGTCCCTTACAGCCCAAACTTTCTCTACACTCTATCTTTTAATTCACTGGAATATTTCTTCCCAGAAAAGGGACAATTTGCCTTCACAGAGCCTACAAAAGAGGTCACATGGAGCCGTGCTGCTGCTGAGGGTCTCAAACTAGGAAGAATGTGATCACACCTGGGAACCTCTTACAAGCTGGTAACAAATCTGCCATTCACTTGCTCCCATTTTCAGGGATGCTGACCACTGGCAAAACACATTGTCACCTGAAAGTGCTCAGCACCTCCAGGGGAAAAAAGGCAGCCATTCCCAGAAGCCCGATGTAGCTGAGGACCTAACATTCCCAGTGATTAGTGAAAGGACAAACATTGCTCCATCGACTTTCAAATTGTGCACCTGCCAATGAAATTGATTGGACATTAACAGTTCACACAAGAAACAATTAAGATTTGCCACAAAAACCTGTCAGCTGTGACCTTTCAGAGTAGAAGCATGAAAGGTTAACAGCATTCCTAAGAACTGGAGCTCAAATTCTGGCAGACTTAGCTGATGCCATAACGGCAATCCTGTGCAACAGGGATGCTGAGAACTCCTCAAAGGTCAACAGTTCTGCACCGTAGCACAAGGATACCACAGGACACAAGTAAGGAAGTCCAAGAGGGGACTGGCACCAGAAAAAGAAGCAAGGATAGTTCCTATGGCTATTATCAGATACTACACAACAGAAGAGAAGTCTCCAGCAGGTGTTACCATCTCAAGCTTAATTGTCTTCTCTTGCTGAGCTGAAAATACATACACACAAACTCAAGCTGCGTCTCCCCTTCCCATCAGTCCTAATGTCTAAAACATTTACTGAAACATCACAGATGAATGAGTTGGAAGTTTTTTATAGGTTAATGTTTCACCAGCCTTCAATTCCTGGACACATTCAGGAAGAATTATTCAGACCAGAACCGGGGAGGTGGGAGGTGCATAAAGATTAGAGAACAAGGTTTTATTGCATGACAGCTGTAGTTCCATGCAGCCCGTGCTGTAATTTATTCAAAAAGCAGCTTTTTGCAGAAATTTTTTCAAGGCAATAGTCATTCTCTAGACTCTGTTGAAAGATAAAAGCCATGAATAACAGTATAACAAGTCAAGTTTTAATAGATTTATAAAATTCATATATACAAAACAGTAAACTAAGTCACCAAAGCTATAAAATACACTTTTTACACATCACAATATAATTTTATCTAGTACACAGTTTTCATAAATTGAAACTATTACAGCAAGTAGCTGCTTCTATTGTGGATGCTGTTTTGGTGCTATAAAGACACTTATGTGAGCAGTCTGGAACTGTGCTTTTAATTTATGCATTTTTTTTTTAACCTTCTTTAATTTGTCACTGTTTCTAAAGTACTTTCCTGTGATTGTTAGAAAATTAAGGCTAAACTCAGGCCTTTCTTGCCCAATGCAGTGAACTGGTTTAAACAAAAAAAGATATTGCATAGTATGTGTGTTACAATGCATAGGCACCACAGAGCAAGTAAATTGCAGAATAAAAAGATAACATTAATTGGCTTCCTAGCTACATGATTGTGTCACGAGATAACTTGGTGTTTTGTCAGTTTGCTTTCATACATATTGATTCCATAAACAAGACAACTCATCACAAGAGCAATAAATACTAGCCATTTTGTTAAGTGGAGTCTCCAGAAATACTGCTTAACATGGATCATCAATTCAAGCTCATTACACGTCCCAGATAACTTAACCTGTACATCGGAAAAACGCTCATTATCCTAAAGACCGTTAATGGCTTCGGTGTGAGCGGGAGTTTGAACATGTCTTCAAACCTATAACCACCGAGCATGCTTCCCAAGTCTTGTGAACTACCAAAAAGACCATTCCTCTTCCACATCCCCCTTCTCCCTGCTGTCTGCTGCCAGCCTTTGCGCCCAACCACCCACACATAAGCTCAGCACAAACGACTGATGGGAGGTACACGCAGAGCAGCAGTGCCATTCCAAAATCTGTTCCTTCCCTCAGAAGAATCTCTCCCTTAGGTCCCATTTATGAAAAAAATTTTCTCTCCATCAATTGTAGTTTTTATTCCAATAACGGAAACAGTATCTTATCTAGCCGTTCCCCTGAAATGCTTCTCGTGCTCTGGTATCTTGAAGAAAGGTTAAGTAGCTGTTAGGAGTAAGATGCACTGTCTGGCCAGAGATCTGCATCCCATATTTTAGCAGGAACTGAGTTTTAGCACCCAGTTATGAGCAGATGAAGAGAGATTTACAGCGGAAGGGTGTGCAGCTGCAGCAGGGCCAGCCTTGCCAGCCTGCTGCTGTTAATTCACAGCCAATAGCTCTCTGGAGTCACTCAAACCTTTTGGGGTCAATGCAGATGGCATTTCTTTTCAACACAGTCAGTCTTCAAGTACCATCAGCTTTTGGGATCTGTTTAGGAAGTCGCTCCTCTCTCCTGCTCCCTTCCAACATACTTTGGCTTTTTACCAGAATGCCTACCTTGGAAGTCAGTGCTGCTCTTTTTTTTCACTCCGTGATTAATTTCACGCCGGACAGAAGACATAACCTTTGGGCATATGCCAAGAGCTAGGCTGCGATACAGTTTGTCAAGCCAGGCACAGAACCGCTAGCACTGACGACCCAGTATGTCCACACTCCCCACCCAGTAAGACAACAAGCATATCAACACACAAACAAACTTCAATACCGCTTTCCAAACGCTGTTAGGAAGACAAAAGCTTTAAGAGTCCAGCTAAATTGCCCAGGCACCAAGATGAGTGAAGAGAGAGCATCACCTGGTTAGGACAACAGCAGTTTCAGCTCCGAACATCCTGGCTTTGGTCAATTCCATCTATGTAAATAAATTAGTGTCAAAACAAAGAAGTGCCCACTTCACAGCACAGAGATCACCCCAGCTAGTTACAAAACAGGTAATATTAAGAAGCACTACATTTTGTATTGTCTTGCCAATTACTTCCTCAGTAGGCTAGACAGTCCTCATCCAGAAGTGCGTGGAGTTGGTATTAATCCAGCCCAGATCTGGCCCAGGCGATGCTGGTTTTCACCAATTCCTGAAATCTGTTATAGGCTCGTTTACAAAAGTAGGCATAGATGTTTTATGGCTGCTGCTAAAACACCCTACCCACCACTTCCCGTGTTACAGAAGTAAAGAAGAGCGTACTGAGGTAAAGCGTTGGCAGTGCTATGTTAAATCCCTGACTACCCCATGTGTTTTTATACTAGAAAAATGTTATAGAAAAAGGCTACTACTGAACCCATTGGAACCCAAGAGAGGTCTCATGACGAGAGGTCTGGTTTGCAGGACAAGCTGCACTGTTGGGAGGTATTATTGCCTATCTCGTTTTTTGCCTCAAGCTGGCATGCATCAAATTGTCCATCAACCAAAAGTACTCCTGAAAATTTGATAAGAAAAATCATGTGTTCAAACACACTGCTTAAAAATCAAAAGGGAGCTTTTACAGAATTCCTTGAGTTCTATCCAGCACAATAGGTTCTTCAGAACTGAAAAGGTAAATTCACAGAAAAGGCTGCAAAACATGAAGTTATTATCCAGAATACAGCCACCTAAAGAAGGCAAAGGGCATGTTTTCTAAAGTGATCTTCTGGGGAAGGCTGCCAGTTTCTTCAGTGGTTCCATGTCTATTCTTTTAATTTCTTTCTCTCTTTTTTCTTTTCTTTTCTTCCCCCCCCCCCCCCCCCCCCCCCCCCACTAACCAGGACTACTGAATACCTGGGTAGCATTTCAAACGGAAAGTTTTTCATATCAAAACCTATTTCAAGTGTCCCAGGGGAACAAAATTTTAGTCTGTAGTGCCACATACAGATGAGCTTTTCCTACACCATTTCATTATTTTTTTTTTTTAATTAGTGTACATTTCTCCACTCTGCTTGGTTCAGGCATTAGTAAGCTCAGAAAGTCAAAATGGATGCCTTTAGGAGCTCCTTCATGCTTGTAACATGACTAGTTCTAGGTTTGATGCAGCAATATATTCAGTTTTTTAAAATACTATAAATACTATTATCACATCAAATACTCTATGCTGCCATACCAAACAGAGTAAGTTCAATTCTTCATATGAAACTCAAAGCATCTTTGAGTTGTAGTGTGAAGCTGAGTGGCCAGTAATTTCTGCAATCAACACTAGGAACTATTTAATTGCTTTAAAGTGATAACTGCCTATTAAACATGTCATTTATAGAAATTACTCCTACTCTTCCTTATTAAATTCCAATTCACTGTCATCTGGTATTGCCATCTCAGAATTGTTCAGAAAGTGACAGCACTGCAATTTGTTAGCTTAAAAATAAATACAAAGTACTGCTTGATGAAATACTCCCATTTAGTTAGTTTTTCTACTTAAACTGCACGATTACGTAAGTTTCTCCTGCAGGCACAAGCTGCCAGCATTTCCTCTCTTTGTCCTTGCAAGAGACAACCCATTTGCAACACCCCGTCACTGGTCACTGACCTGTAGCATCAGAGAATGGACAGCATTTTTTTTTTTTTTTTCAAGTAGCTGTTCAAGGTCTCCATCTGATTATCATCCTGCTTGTGACCTATTTCCTGACTAGCCAAATGAACAATAACCCTATAAAGTTAACACAAAAAGATGTTCTCTCCAGCTGTGTTTACCTGCAAAGTTCTCCAGGATGTCACTTAAAGTTTTTTTTTTTTCTTGTGAAAGGACTACGCAACTGATCAAGCCTGTCCTGAGATGTTTGTACAACTTAAGCTACCTACATTCTGCTTTAGTAATTAACCAATTTACCATAACATGATTTTCTGGCTTTATTATACTACAACTTAGCTTGAAAAACAAAAACAAAATACCTCAGTTGTGCAAGAAGCAGAGTCTATATTTAGCAAAGAAATTTACCTGCCACCTGAAAAATAATCCTTTTTACTCGCAGTCCAAATCCTTCTCAAGTTTGAGAAGGGCTTCACTTTTGCATGAAGAGTCTCCTGATCTTGGGTTCCTGGTACAAACCAATGCTATCAAACCCAAATTACACACAAAAGAGCCTACTGAGCCAAACCACTGATTTTCATCTGCAGTCTAGAGCATCATGCTTAGGCCCATTTTGTCACGAGAAAGAAGAAAAGCAATAATGGGCCACAGGTGAGCCAACTGGTTCCCTAGAACTCTGATTTATTGTGCAAAACTGCTGCTTCATACAAAAAATCACTAGCAAGACTGACAGCTCAATATGAGATAACTCATGCTGTTTCTTTTCCAGGTGCAGATCAAGCTACTTAAAGTATATGTTGCATTATTAGCTCTGTTTAGAGTTTTAAACCCATATGGTGACTATGGATACAAAACCATGGATGACCATGGAAAGAAAAACAGAACAGGAAATTCCACACTATGCCTCCCAGGTAAAACTACAGTAGATTCAGACATAAAACTGAGGTAATTCTTGAGAAAAAAAATAGAGTTGAAAGGGAATGCTTAACTCATTTGAGAAAACAAGCATCATTTTAGCCCATCTAGAAAATTTAGTGAAAGAATAAAGCTCACAGCAAACTAGGAAATAAAATCAAGTCAACCTAGACGTCAGGTCAGCCCATGACTGCCTCCTCTTTTCCCAGTGTCTCGTGTGAAATGGAAACCACTATCAGGATCTCCAAGAAAAAATAAAAGCATTGGCATAATCTTCATCTTGAGCCAAACAAATGGGCTAGCTTAGACAAATGAGCCTTATACAAAGAGTAAACTTATTTGCACCAACCAAGGTTACAGCATTTACCTTTTCAAATGTAATAAACTTACGAGCTCTCCCATCTGACTACCAGTCATATGGGATTTTTCCCCTTCAAGGCTAAAAATGAATAAACATTTAAAAGACAGACTTGGTCCTGGCAAAAATAAGACTTGTTACAAAGAAGCTAATTCCTGTTTAAGTTTGCTTAAATTTAAATTGGATTTTCCTGTCTGTAACTTTTCACTGCTTCTTACCTCAACACTGCGTTATATAACGCCAACATAGCCACGTCTTTTCCACTCTGAAGTTTGCACACACAAAAAAGACTGCTGCATTAGGAAGCTACACAAAAATACTGATACAACATCTGCAAGCTTCAGAGGGGAAGAAAGATTCCAGATTTTATCCAAATTAAAATCCTGTTCCGTTGTCCTTTCATGTTTTTTAGACCACATTTCCCATGGGATCACCAGCTGAAGTAAAACGTTGCTTGTTTTGACATGCCACTGCAGTCTCAGTGGGGATTAAGAACTCCAGAGAATCTGCTGCCTTTGTACGGGTACAAACAGCCCTTCAGGTTTTATTCTTGGATAAAAACCATGACAAAAATTAAACAGTAAACTACGTTTGAGAATTATCTAAAGAAGAGCACTACAGTGCTGAGATAAAAGGCAGGTTGTAAGTTTGTCCATGTACCCCACTGTAATAGAAAAGACCTGATATGTCTGTACACAAAAAAGGCACCTGATAGTTATACAGATTGAGAGAGCTAGGAAATTAACAGTTCATATCAACACTATTCATAGCCTCTTGCAATTTTACGCACAAACTGATGCCCAAGAGGGGCAACTCCAACCTTGACTGTATTCAGAACTGCATGTGCATTACTACAGGCTAGAGATCCCATTAAGACACAGATTAGGGGCTAATTTTACAGCAAGGTTTTGCTGCCCAAATCCATCAGTGCAGCTGTAAAACTGGGATCTCTAGGGTGTTTGGACTTCCTACACAGTCAACTGTTGGGAACTAATCAAGCAGCTGCTGTACTACCAAAGCCTTTGCGTAAGAGTTTAATCAGTTCCAAACTTCCGAATATAGATAAAGCTCTGCCATGTGAGATACCGAACCTTCACAAGTACTGCCAAACCGCAGGTGTGAGCACAGTGCTGAATTTCCACCAAGTACATCTCACTCGAGCACCCCCTGTTCAGAGACGGGGTCAGGTGCTCTAGGACAGGCTGCTTCACCAAGGAAATCAGTTTCCCCATGATGTAATACCCTTTACACATAGTGCAAAAATAAACCCTTCTCCAGCAAGGCCTCAACTTCCCATCCAATTTACTCCAACATGGGTTTCCTTATACAGTTTCAGACTTTTGCTTCAGGATACTCATGCAAAACCTTCAGACAAGAGCTGTGCATCCACCTTAATTAGTGGATTCCAGACCCTTGGCAAAACTGAATATGCATACAAGATCTGGTTATATTCCTAGGGTTAAGAACGCAACTTCCATTAACATTCTCCAAGACAGCTACCAATCTCATTATATTTAGGTTAGTTTGATCAATTCAGCACCTCCAAACTACAAAAAAGGCAGTTTGTATGACTGGTGTCTCTGAAAAATAAGCATATTCATTTAGAACAGTGTCTTCCATACATGGTTTGTCAGAGATTTTGTTTTCTAGGAAGGCAGAAGGTGGTTGTGTTATTCAGCATTCCAAACTAGGCACAGAACCTACAACGGCCATGTTTCAGTAGTGTTTCTAGTCCAAATGATTCAGTAGCTAACATCAACATTTGATTCCTTCGGCCTATAGCTCCTCTGTTTGGACTGGCTAGTTTACAGCATTCCTGAGCCAAGTAAGTAGCATGGGTCCTACACCACATGCAAGGGCCATAAAGAAAGGATAAAAACTTCGATCTAACCCTCCAGCAAATTTTAACAAGGCATGGACTGCTCTCCTTCACTGCAACATAATATCCTTCAGATTCTCTTGAAGGATCGTGTCCTTCACAGCATGAAACACAAAGCGGATGTTTTCAGTGTCTATGGCAGTGGTGAAGTGATGGAAGAGCGGCTTACTACGGTTTCTCCTCTTTCTGTCAAAGCACTGCACCAGATAACGTTGAACATCTTCTAGCCTGTGAGGGTCCCCCTTGAAGTCCGAGAAATACTTCTTAATGCTGACAGTCTTTACCTTCTCTACAAGAAGATCCATCTTGTTGAGGAATAGGATAATAGAAACATTAAAGAAAAGCTTGTTATTGACTATTGTCTCAAAGATATTCATGGACTCCACAAGTCTATTTGTGCGCCTGTCTTCCATGAGAACCTGATCATATTCACTGGAGGAGACCATAAACAAAATTGAAGTTATTCCATCAAAGCACTGGAACCACTTTTGACGCTGAGATCTCTGTCCACCTACATCCACCATCTTGAAAGGTATTTTTTTAATGATGAAATCATGCTCTACTATCCCCTTGGTGGCTTTTCTAGCCAGCAAAATATCTTGTTTGCTGGGGAAATAATTCTGCAAAAGAAAGGAGAAGAGTGTCAAAAAAAATCCTTCAAAAATGCTGGTTAATTCTTCCAGGTTCACAGTCCCTGACCAGTGAGCAAAGCAACACGTTCTATTGCAGGATGTGGCACAGACCACTGCTGTAGCAATTTGTTCTTCACAAGCTTATTACTGTTACTATTTTGGAAAAATCACCTCTTTTCTTTCTTCTCCAAATCTGACAGATGTTTTCATTACTCATTTTGAATTCTACAGTTGTAAATTTTTGGTAGTTTTTGTTAGGGTTTCATTCTGTTTTTAGTAGTACCAACCATCAGATTACAATTAAAAGGGAACGAGATCCAGAGACTACACAGGGCTGACAAAGCGTGCACAAATGCAGCTTTCATAAGCAACATTCATCTGTCAAAAAACACTAATTAAATACTAAGCTTCAGTTTCATAAAGCTCAAGTTCACTATTCCTGAAGAACTTCGATTGAGTTATTTAATGTTTATTATTAAGTCATTCATCACAGCATATCAAGGCTTTCATCCTTGAGCACTTTTGGTACAGAAAGAAGAGTTATGTCTTACCAGCTGACCAATCCGATCCAGGTTATCCAGGAAGTATTTAACTGATTCACCCTAGAGAAAAGGAAAGAGATGGAAACTTAGTGTACTTCTAGGATAGCTAATCCAATCGAGCTATTGCACTTCCACTTTCCAACATCGAGGTCTAACATAGCTGTATCACAAACAGAAGTTTGGACTACATCCTGATATGCTTAAGGAGCTGCAACAATAGAAATACCCCATTGCTTAACTCACATAAACTGCTGATAACGAAGCAGAGCTACTATAATTTGCTACTGATGAGTAGGTGAGCTAGTATTTATTCTAAACAGTTCTGTTACTAGTAGAAAAAACAAAGTTGCACAGGATTTTGAAAGTGTTCAAAGCTATCTAGTAGATCTTTACAATGAAAAGAAAGCATTATCAAAGGCAGTTCTTTGCTTTGGATTAAAGTAGTTTTTTTCCCTTGTACTATCAAGGCAGTTAAATGACACCGGGTGGGAGTAAAAATAAACACCTTCATTAGAAACCAATGTATTCTGCTTGAAATTCATAACAGTGAACAAAAGCATATGCTAGACTAGTTGGCGTATCTTTAGTAAAAGTGAAAGATTCAAGTCACCTAAGATTCATAATAATTCCCAATCATGAAGGACATTCTCTTCTCCAAACCCTTTTAGGCTCAAGGGTTTCAATAACAGATTTGCTGATCTTATACAAGACTCCTTAGCAGTTATATTGAAAAGAATAAGCAATGTTTACAAAGAAGATGTATTTTTGTGAACTTTTTATCTTTTTAAGAAGCTTGCCTGTTTATTACACTGGAATCAAGTGAGTGCTACTCTGCACTGACAAAACTGACAGTAGGTGCCTTCACCATGTTACTAACTTGGGATGAGAACATTCTCAAAATATCATCTCACAGATTCCAACAGCAATATAAATCCTTAAACCAAACATTCTCCCCCATACCATAGGCCTGAGACAGAGGAACAAAATTATTTCCCTCCAGTACAACTTCAAACAGATGCCAACACAACAGTTTATTCTGAAGTATCAGACTGGAGATCAGAGGATTCAGTGTACTGCATGAGGACATAATTTCAGCATCAGGCAAAGACAAAAAGGAGCTGCAACTTACTATTTCATAACATTTAAAACTGGAAGCATCTTCTCATAAAGGAGAGAAAATATACATATTTGCAAAAAGCTACGTGTATCACAAAAGATACTAAGGCATTAAAGAAAGGACTTTTTCCAGGGGTGGGGGCAAGTTTGTAAAGAACAATTGCTCTAAGAGCTTCCTTACAATCATGAATTTTCATAAGGTGAAAGTAATTTCCTGTATTTTTTGGCACTCTTTGGGATCAGAAGAGATATCGCAGACTGCATGAATACGAAAAAGGTCTTCCTGTACAGCATTAGTCATATTTAGGAGATGGGAGAGCCCAAACGGAAAAGGTCACTAAAGCTTAAAAAAAATAAATCCTTCTATCTATTGTGTTTTGTCCTGCACAATGCTTTTAGATGTGCAACAAGATGGCAAACAGGCTGTCTCTGATGCAACTAGTTCCTCTTTTTCCAACCAGTTACTTTAAGAGTCCTTGCCTTGCTCATACACCCTCCCACGCTGGGAACAGGAAACAGCTGTATGCACGTAAACTGCTGCGACACACAAGCAAATTTACCTGATTTATGGCCTGCGCCTCCCCTGCTTCCTGCCTCACACACTGATCAATTTAACGTTTTGCACATTTACAAGAGAAAATCTAGTTCTTGAAAAATACACATTTATTTATTCAGTGATTTAAGGAAACTAGACTTTGCCATTTTCCTATGAAGCCCTGCGTAATGTTGTAATTACGCCAAATAATTAATTCTGAGAAATTTTAAGCAGTAATTACAAAATACTTGAATAGCTGGGTAACCAAGTTGGATTGTCAAACAGGTGTGCTCAACATATGATGGGACTGACAGCTCTGAACAAGTCTGAGTATTCTCTTCCAGCACAGAATTCAAAGATTCTCAGTATTTCAGTCAAAATATCTGTTTCCAGTCAAAACAACAAAACCCCCAAAAGCTCCAGAGGGTTCAGAGTTAAGAATAGCTCAGAACATTAAAGCACACAAACCTGAAAAGAAAGAAAAAGCTGAACAAAACACAAACACTGAGAAACCCCTACTCTCAAGATGATTCCCCGATTAAAGCCCTAACACAGGAACATAACAGCATGGGGTCAGTTCCTGCTCCAAGGCTTCTTCTGTAACCTTTTTTCTACATTTTATCAGATTCACAGAAAAGGTGGTTGCTTCTGAGGAGCTGGGGTGTGGGGGGACACTTCAGTTCATCAGGCTGGCAGAGCAGAACAACTACATACGGCACCAACTGATCTGAGCAATAACACAGATTACTTAAAATGAGGGAAATAAAAAAACCTTCATGTTTTATGACTGTTTTATGTTAGTATTTTTCACTATAACAATTGTATTAACTGAACCATCATTTAGCTTTTCATTTTTTCCTTATCATCCAGAGGAAATTGAAAGCAACATTAATTGGATCTAAAAGTTCAAGTTATTTAGCTTCCCGTTGAGCTGTACTTGAATGCAATTTTGAATGCCATCAATATTATTCAGAGTACGCTTCCATGCTTTGGGTATTATATACATACTTTTGTACAGGGTGCGTGTATATATAAAGTACACGTACAGTTTAAGAATAGGTCATCAGGGCAGGTTTTTCATTCAGTACAAATTAATACTGAAACCAAAAAGTACCAGCAGCCCCTCGCACGTTGAACTATTTTTCTCTTGTGGGCACTGAAGAACAGCAACCTGTTCTGGCATTTTCAGCACAAACTCGTAGAGATTCTCCAAAGTCACCCAACCAGTCAACTGCACTCCAGAGCTGGCTCAGCACTTCCTTTTCCACATTGCAGCCAGTTATTTCTGCTTCACCAGCACAACTTGCCTTAGAAGCAGCAGCAAATATAGCAGCTCATATTTGCAATTAACTCTGATATTAAAGACATCTTTATATAGATTGGCTATTTCAACGTATTTTAATGGTCCTACTGAAATATTTGAATGGTTTTTCAAGCGCTGCAATATATTTTGAACTATGCTTGCAGGCAGCAAAACAGAAATCAAGCAATATAACCTTTATACTATTCATACTGTATTTAAATACCTAAGGAAACACATCCCACGATGCATCTTTTACAAAAATCACACAAATTAAGTCCAGGACAGCTCTAACAGGCTGGAAAATTGTAGCAGCTCAAAAAACTTCCTGAAGATCAACCACCTTCATAGAAGTTTTTCTAGCCTCTGGCTTTTTAAGGAAGACTCAAGTCTTGTATTCCACTGCTGGAGTACTACCACCTTTGAAAGAAATAAATGAAGAATATTCATGCATAGTGTTTTTGAAATCTGAAAGGCATCATTTCATTTCAGCTGACGTGGCATTATGTGTGTTAGTGAAGCATGTCAGTGCTGGGATTTTGTTACTTTTTACCTGATGATCTAGTAGTGCATTTCACATTTCAGAAGTTTTATCAACAAATCAAAACAAAAACAAAATCAGCAAAATAAATGACGGCCATCTGCTAGCTTTTTTTTTCCCCTTTTGATAATTAATCAAGATGTCAAAACGCTGTCATCCATCTTTGCTCAGTACTGTCTGGGACGAATACGCTCTGCGTTATGAAACGTACATAAGTAATTCAGATACTCCTTTTTAGTACACAAGAGCACAGCACAGACTCTAAGCCTTTCTTAACTTCTTGGTCACCACACAAGAGTTACCACAAATGCTCGGATGATTCATTCTCCCACTGCTAATCTCTTCTCCCTCTGCAACACATATCCTCTGAGTAACTGTTCTGCCAACTGGGACCAAGTGAAGGAATAAGGCTCCGTTCCCATTGTTCAGCGGGATGAGTCACTGCACATCTGGGAACTGGGGGAATCGAGAAACACAAACACAAGGCCTATAACGAGCCCACAAGCTCCACAGTGCAGCATCACCATTGGACTTCATTTTTTATTTCTAGTTTTTTTTTTTTTTAACTGCCTTATCTGCAGTATAAAGTTTGGTGAAGCAACAAAAATAGTACAATTTGCTTACAGAGTGATTGGTGGAAGAGAAAGGGAGGAAAGGTAAAAGTGAAAACATTCTCACTTCCTGAAATAGTGCTCTAAAGCTCTTTTTATATTCTAGATTACTATGAACATGGCAAGTGAAATTCTCAAGGGACAAAAGTCGCAATATTAAGAAATATCTATTGCATTTACTTCCATATATTTTGCATTATACGAATATCATCTTAACTCCAAATAATTATAATACAAAATAACTAACTGAATTCAACTCCTCTGTCCCTTCAGGCTAGATTCATAACACACAGGAAATCTCCCCAAAGAAATACTAGAACAAAACTGGCATCACTTCCTTTGCTGCTCATGAGCCCTGTTGCAAAAAACAAGTAGAAAACACTTGGGCAGAGTTCCCAAATAGTTTTCATTTAATGAAAATAAATGCATAATAGATTACATGCAGATCACTTTAAAATACACCCAGAAGCTCAGAAATAAGAAAAAATGTTCTGCAAGGCCAGAATTTATCAACTTGTCGCTAACCCTTAGCCAGTTATTCAAAGTGACATTGGTTAGATCATTAATAATGAAACGTCCCATTGTCCAGTTCCCTAAAATACAGGCTCGTCTCAAACTTCTTCTGAAAAGCAGTTCCTTTAAATGCTAAAAGACTTGAAAAGCAGACCTTCTGTTCCAAATTGGCTTTTTTCCTTTCCTTGTCCCAAGGCCTTTTTGACATAATATTAATTTAGCCCTTCCTGATCATTCTGTCTCTAGCTGCTAAATTTAGAGCAGACAATTTAAGGTAGACCTGTCAGTCTTTGCTTGTTTCAGATGATGAATTAAACCACACAGGAAGGAAATGTTATACTTCAAGGAACATGTAATACAGATCTAACAGGACTCCCACAAACAGACACAGAGGAACAGATCCTGTAACTACTGCAAGCTGCATCTGAACCTGTGGAGTGGAAG